TCTAAATTCAGCAAGGAAGTTGACGTCGCATGACTTCAACACCAATTCAGTTTCCTCGCTTAATTTAGTAGGGTGACTGTGACGTCCCATAATGCAACGCCAGCGGTTACTTTGACGTTGACGGCGACGCCACTCAACCGAAAACGAGTGCCCAAGAGCTGCTCTCTAAAAGAGATCTCTGCCCGACAGGTTGGAACCTTTCCGAAATTCAGTCTGTTCACTTTACTCGCTATCATCATTGGAGTGTTGGACACTTGTGAGAACATGCTATTAGCGCCAAGATTTTTCGGTGGCGCCCTCTTATGGTTTCCTTTCGTGACGTCATGACCCGGATTTGCCTCGCCGTGATGGGTAGGATTTGCCTTGCTGTGATGGGCAGGATTTGCCTCTGCCTCGTCGTGATTGGCAGCATTTGCCTCGCCATGTACCGGCAATTGAGCAGGCGTTATCATAATACAGAAAGCAATGGTTTGGCCAATCGAGAACTTTGACCACAGCGATGCATTTGGTCGCATACGTGGCTAATACTTTGTTATGGCTACATTCATAGTACTTTGTTCAGTAGCACTGAAAGCAGAAGAAAATGGTCCCAGAACAACTGGTCCCAAGTGCAAGATAGAAAGAAAAAAAAAAACACGATCGCAGTCAAAAAAAAAGTACAGCAGGGTGAATTTATTGAATGAAAATATAAGCTTACAAGTAAAAGAAAAAAAACAAAAAAAGCACATGATTTTTTTTTTGCCTATTAACGAATCCGTGCTGCGTCTTTTTGTGCGAAATTATCAGTTTTCCGTTTGGCAAAATAAATGTGGCAGTGACCCCAAAATCATTTGTTGTTGACACACGACTAGTATAGAAAATGTACATTTTTTTTTGCAGCACCTTATATACCTGTGTACGTATTTACACCAAAATTTGCTTTTGGCACCTCCCTCTGTATATTTTTTGTGCTTCATTTTTATTCAATAAATGTTTATCTAATGATTATTATTTGAGATGTGCTAATCTAGAACAAGTGAGTGAGGCTTTTCACATGTTATTTTAACAAGTGTTGCGGGGACCGTGATCATACCAACTGGGGGAGGGGAGGGGGGGGGGGGACAGGAGGGTCGCCTCCTCCTCTTCCTTCCTACCCCCCCCCCCAGGAGCGCGTAAGAGGATTACATTGTGGATTCCTTTGCTGCACATCTTTTTTTAGCTGTTTCTGTTTAGTTGTCCGTGCAGAACTCTACCAAGAACTTAGAAAAAAAGGGCGAGAAATTGCCTCCTAAGAAGAGGGGGGTGGGGGCTACTTTCACTCTGCTGCTCCCTTAACTGAAATGGTGTGTCACTATGGGATATGTCCACACTGCATGTTCGCGTCGCAAACCAGCATGCCCTTTAGAAGTCATAAAAAGCAAGGATTTCTAGGATGCGTGTGGTTCATGCAGTTGGGCTATCCCGCGACAAAGATGCCGCCTGTTAGCCCGATGTTGCTCTGAAAGCAAAAGACCGTCCTGCAATTGCTCTTCCTTTGTCAAACTCAAGCTCGGACATTGGCTCGCAGAAACATTTGGAGTGTCGCTCGCCTCAAACTTTGGCAACAAATAAAAAGCAAACCGTTTTAGAAAAGCTGTTTTTTTTTTTTTTGGTTAGGTGGAGTAGCTCATTGAAGTTGCACAAAGCGGGGACGGCTATACACCAACTCAACTCTGTGACGTCACGGCGCGGTGGTGGCGCGTCGGTCGCACTTCCGGTCTGGGGCTGTGGGCAGAAGTCCCCATGCCAGACGTGTATTCCTGCATTGTTTTGAAAGGAACCAGACAAAAACCTCCGTTCTCGTCAAAACGCCGCGACTGGGGCCGTACCAAAAGCGTCGAGAAAGGTTTGAAGGTCAGTTTTCACGTACTCGGTTCGTCTGAGGATCTGGATATGTGCCGTGAAAAGAGAAAAGCAGACGCCGTCGGACAACGATTGCTTGGGCGGGAAGCACTTTGGGTTGAATTCACGGATAGTCGGGGTCATCAGATTTATTTGTTTTGTTCCAACGTGAACGCCGGAAAACCGTCAAGTTGTGCGGACCACCTGCGAACTACGTTCAATGCGTCTTCACATTCAAACGACCGCCTGATCGTTCGAACTGTCGCCTGCTCTTTCAAACGTTTCTGCCTGTCGTCGGCTCTTTTAGGCAACACCGGCCCGTAGACCCAATGTTGGCCCGATACTTACGATAAGGAGTAAGTGCAGGCCTCAAAGGACTTATGGTTGTAGGTTGGTAAGCAGGCTACATGTGAACAGTAAATACAATGAGATGTTTATCATTGTTATCAGTGACCATCACCGACTTGTTATGACTAATTCACTTGGTCCGATTCTGCTTGCGATTTTCAGTATCAACGTCGACCGTCTCAGCTACGGTTCACGCTTTTGCAGCCCGAGCGGCGACGCGACTGAAAATTTCGAGCGAAATCGTATCATGTGAATCAGGCTTTAGCGTACATACTGCGGCGTCCACGCGGAATGAATCGCCACATGTTACATTATTCACGTGAGGTTTTGCGGTGTAACGAGCCTCAGTAATTTCGCCAACGCCGATCAAGTAGTCAGACATCGCCAGCAAGACGTAGAATCAACAATTCGAATGCGAAAAAGGGCAGCGGGACCTGCACCGACGCCGACTACATCGCATTTCAATGGTTTGTTTATGGGCGACGGCGAGCCTCTTGCCCACACCCCCATCGCGCATGCACGGCGCCGGTGGCATCCGCTAGGGGCGCTCCGGTTTGTTTGTAAACATGAGTTGGTGAATAATTGGGTAGAATAAAAAGGGGGTCCTCTTGGTGCGTAACAAGCAGCCTCTAGATTCGCTGAGATTTTGACGGACCCCTGTCAACAAGTCCAGAGCTACTGCGCAAGTAGATATTGTTGAGTTTCTTCTCTCCATCCCTGTCTTCTGCCCATCGCTATCTCATTCTCTACCTCCCTCTCCGTAGCTCTCTCTCTCTTACTCTGTGTCTCGCTCTCTTTCCTTATTTTCGCATTTTCTCTTGATCGCTCTTTCAGATGCGTCGAAGCACTAAAATTTGTTGTGCACCGATGCCGTTCACTCGCTGCAACTTTTTTTTCCGAGTGTGATTGCTCCTGCATAAATCCGAGAGTCCAGGATGAGTTTACAGCACCCAAAGCTGCCTGAAGTGACAGTCAAATACAACGTGCATCCACTTCTCAAAAGAGAATTGAGATTAGGATTCAACCGACTTTTATCAACATCGGAATGTGCAACTCCAAGCATTTCTGAATCGGTGTTTCAGCAGACGTTATCGTCTTCAGCCGAAACATTTGATCAATCCGTCAGTACCGAGCCTTTTACGGTTCCCGAAGCCACTCACCCGAATGATCTCGGGGATATACACCGGCAAGTCGGTAAGTGGGACTATTTCAGAATCTTTACCCTTCCATTGCCCAAACTTGTGTGCCGAATTCATAAGATTAGATTACAAATTATAATTATTTAAGAGCAATGTTTTCAACGTTTTCTCGTCCTTCCCTCTGGGTATTTAGGTCAATGATTTTAATCATTTTCAGGTAATTACATTATAGGAAGTTTTTTTTTTTTTTTTTTTTTTTCTTTTTTCAAGTCTGCCTAGATTATGTTTACCTCTAGGCAGCCGAGTTTTCTTCTCATACACGATGGCCATGGGATGGCAGTCCCAAGAGTACACGTTGTTGGCTCTGACAGCCCGCATTGGGTAGCAGGAGCCGTAGTTTTTGTCGCCTGCGAAGTTACGCAGAACGGAGTATACAGAAAACAATTTGGTTTTCATAAAGACCTACATTTTGCCAATTTTGCAATTTCAAAATACTCACGAAAAATTAGTCCCTCAAATAATTCGCCTCATGGTAACAACTACACAACGGATCATGAAAATATGTGCCGGCAAAATAATTCCGAAAGTGGTTGATTTCCGAGTAAAAATTTATTATTATTTTAAAAATAGTTTTTATGGAGCATGTGTACAACATGGATCATGAAAATTTGTGCCGGCGAAATAATTCCGAAACTGGTTGATTTCCGAGTGCATATAACCTAGTAAAAATTTATTATTATAAAAAAATAGTTTTTATGGAGCAATGTATTGTACAAAGCTTCTCTGGCCAGGGTGGCCAGGGCTTCCCCCGGCTGTTGGCTATTCGACGCGTGTGGACGAGTCTGGCGATCTCAGGTCCGGGTACGTCGAGAGGCCATAAATATTGGCACTAGCCTGTCGTCAGGCGGGGGCTGCAACTTGGACGCGCTTTCGAAAACCCATTCGACAAATCCGGACCGGGAAAAACTTCAGCAAAGTACGCAGTGCGCCAAGACCACGCGCGTTCCGTGCGCGCTCGACCCTTCTGACAGGTCCGCGGTTAAATTTACGTAGCGGCGAAATCACGCAACACTACACGCGTGCCAAAAAGTGTGTGTGCGCGTATTTTGGTCCAGAGGAGTACGCAGAACTACGCGGCCGAAAGCGTTGTTCCATGCGCGTTGCGCAAAACCGCGATGCCCGAAATATCCGTTTCGCAAAGCCGTCCATGGTTGCACAGCGTACACGAATGGCTGAGTCGTCTTCTAAACCGAGGCAAAAAGTTCAGCGGGGATGACAACGTCAAATTGGAGCCCCGAGAAGAGCGCCGACTGCAAAACCAAACAGAGAACGGGATCTTGTTTGTGCGCATTAGGTAGTACTTTCGGTGGCCTTCCGCGCCGCACTGAGTCACTGGACAAAGGTTCTACAAGATTAGTATGCGCGGGCCTGTCAGAGCGTCTCCGTGTTAGAATGCGATCAGTCGAGAGAAAGTAAACAAGCTGCATGGAAGGAGTTTGTACCCAAGCCGTGAGACGTGTTGGGCACCGTCTCCAGCTTCACGGTTGTGGGATAAGCGAGAGAAATTAAGCTTAAATGTATTCCGATTCTGTGGGATGACTTGCAATTATGAGTTTTATCGCTTGTGCTGCGATCACAGGGTGAACGACTTACCTTCTGGCAAACTTTTTCTTCCATAAGTCGTTACTGCATACAACGTCGCGGAACTTGGAGCACACCACAGAGCATCGACAGAGATCGTCGATGTCAATCTGAGGGAACGAGAGAACGTGCTCGATCACCTCGTGTGGCAACAGGTCGAGAGTCAACATCGCAGCACTCTGCACCGTCGCCATCACTTCATCGTCTGACCGACCAGCCTGACTGCGCTGTTATGATGCTTCTGGGCTTCTGGCGAAAGAGTCAAAAGAGTCTCGCGCGTGCGTGTTGTGGCAACCCGATTGCGAAAAACAGAGGGGGAAAGAAACGCGATAGGAATTACGCTCGTTCTGAATCCGTGAGTCTGCAATGAATGAGTATTGAGTTATTGTATTTTGGGGGACTGCAGTTGTGTGGCGTATTCAACGGCGTTCGTTTTCGTCAAAGCAGACGACAATGAGTCGCCATCTTTAGCGAAAACATCTTGTCGCCTGCAAACAACTCGGCCACTCAGCTGGTTGGCTGAGCCAAAAATATCCAACTCAATCCAGTTCAAGCCTCCCTCCCTCCTCTGTACGGATCCGAAGTGTCCGAAGCGATGGAAGGCAAATGTAAGGGAAGCACAGAAGCGTCTGGCGTGCGGCCTTAGCGATGGCACCAGACTGACCACACTTTAGAGCACTGGCTGACCTTCGTTAATGCAGCTTGAAAATTAGCCCCCTGAAATTAAAAACAGCGCCAGTACACGGCGACGTTTCGCCACGATGTCGGCTCCTTTTCAGGTTCTTCCTACCTGCTTCGACTGCGTTCGTATTATGACTGTACTTGACTTGTGCGACGAAAACAGGATTCTATAAATAATTATTGATTCAAACTCCTCGGAAGATTTCGTGTTTTGTGTATGTTAGTGAGAAATAAATATTTGAGTGGGTGTAGTTCCACCTTTGGTCACCATTTTGTTCCAGCCAAAAACTTCTCTGAATTTTAAAGAAATGCAGAATTAAATATATTCACAGCCAAATTCATTTTGTTTTCGACGAGAGTCGTCCTTGAACCTTGAACTGCCTGAACGCCTTCCAGCACGAAGAGAAAAAGAGAACGCGAAGAACGAAACAAAACACTCCCGACACTCCTCATTCCAAAGGAAAGGAGGAAAGGTTCAGTCACTATTTGCTTTGTTCCTTGTTTTGTGAACTTTTTATCTTTTGCACTTTTATCTCGCAGCGACGAAAAGGTGGTACTGCATTTTTAAGCTCCTTTTTTTTTGTTTTCGCCCCGTCTTTTTTCTTTTTTTTTTCTTTGCGTCAATACCACTTGTTCGCACCGACGTCCGCGATGCCGCGCCAAAGCCAGGTGCTTGCGTCTGGTCTTCGCTTTAGGAAATGGCCTTTCGGGCGAGTAGTTTTTCTCCGTGCTCCGACAGAACACCACGCGTTTCGCCTCGGGTAAGTGTCGGCCCGCAAATCTGGGTTGTGATCGGCGCAGTGGATCGGCGCCGACTTTCCGGCCTCAAATTAGGCGGAAAGTCGTCGTTCGTTCTCGGACAGAGTGCGTCGTCGTCGTGGTCTTCACAGTTGGACAGTTTTGCCTCGGCGTACGTACGCTCAAGCCGCTGAGCGCGCGCCGGCAAGTCCGTTGTGAAAAAGGCTCGGCGCCAAATGCTCCACAGCTCGCGCCTGTGTTTTGTGCTGGCTCGAAGAGCTATAATGTTGGCGAAAACTCCCGAAGGGCTGCATGGGTCCTAAACCTGTTCCTACGCGTTTGCTGCAGGTGAACGAGCCACTACCACTGCCATGATCACGAGAGAAGCAACGGGTGAGTTCTGCCGAGCGCGCAGTGCTCGAAAACGGCCTCAACTTTCTGCCCTAACGTGCACACAAGAAGTCTGCACGAGTTATTCTCTGCGTGAGTAGCGCGTGGATCTGTGTTTTTATTAGGGGGAGATATAAGCCCAGGAAAGAAACAAACGAACAGGAAAGGAGGTGTGAAAAATTGCGCTCTGCCACGAAGCAGTTTGGCAGCAGCGAATCTGTCTCTCTGTCAGATGTTTCTGAAATGCTTTTGTGTGTGAAACGACACAAATGACAATGTATCGGCGACTTGGCTTGTGTAGCATGTCACTCTAGTTACGCAGCAGGCTCCAGCTATCTTTTTTCCTTGGCTTGGCAGTCATCCGCTTCATACTTGTCAAGAAGCATTCACCTCTCGGAGCTATTTTGACATAATTATATTATTAACATTAGTGTCGTTTCTGAAACAATGCCACAGAGTAGAGAGAAAATTAATTAAAAACAAAGGAATGACCGTATGAGAAACAATAAATTACTTTAAAAGGAAAGAAATGCCAAGTTTGCACCTGTGACAGGTGATAGGTCCTCACCCAGTGTGCAGTCAACAGAGGGGCGACGGGATGCAGAAGATTAAAAAAAGAAACCAGAAAATTTAATTAGGCATTAAAAAGCCGCGTACGGCAACGACGCGAAAACCAATAAAATGCGAACAAGCGTTCAGCAACAAATCCACCACAAATCTGGGCAGTGAGGTCACGAAGAAAACAAAACCAAACACAACTCCAAAACGCTGTGAAACAATGCACCGCTTGGAACACCAGGCCTGGAAAGCCGGGAACAAAGTTCGCCGGCGCAAAGAAAACGTAAGTTCCGTAGAAGGAAAGTCTCCACTGCTAGACCCAACAGTATGTCACGAAGGCAAAAGCACGGTCAAAGCCAATGCAAGGGTCACCCGACATCGAAAGAACCCCATGACCACAACCAGGATTACGCGAAATCCCCAAACTACCTGTCCGCGTCTCCACTGTTAGCTTTGCATGTTTCACGTGGAACACGCAAAGTTAGAACAACACAACGCTTGCGTTCGCTCGTATATGCAATAGTAAAACTTGCTACTGTTTCACCGGCTTCCAACGCCAACGAAACGTACTGCAGTGAGCAAATGGGGCAGGTAGGTGTACCTTCAAACTGGAAAGGCTGAGATTGGCAAAACTACGGTGCGTAAGAATGAATGTAACTAAATATTATAAAAAAAAAGTGCCAATTAAAAAAAATCACAAAAATCCTTTTTTTTTTTTTTTTGTGGGGGGAGGCATTTGGCTTGAAAGGATATTGACAATGACTTTGGATGTTGTGCCAATTCTCAAAAGTTGCGACTTTGATAGCACAAAATGCTTTACAAACACTGTAATTGTGCATGAATTTCTCAAGTTAGCTATAATGTTTTCATTGATTTTAGACTATTTCACATTTTTGATTGTCATACTTGTTTGCACGTTTGTAATTAGATCATAAGCAACAAATTATATTAGAGCTTCAAAGAATACGTATTAAAATACTTTAATTTTGTGTTATTATAATACAAGTCGTGGCAATGTATGCCCCCAATTAACGCTACGATCACAAAAATTCACTATTTAACCATAATAGTCTTACCAGAAAAGTATAATTTTTTTTAAGCATATGAAAAGCTTATTTTTCTCCAGATAGGCAAACAGTCAAACAATGGATGCAATATAAAGTCCTATGTGTTGCATTAAAAAAACACACTTCAGCTGTCTGTCACTGATTGCGTCTTTGGGTTCTTGTAGCGAGAACAGCGTTTCTTAATTTATGTTTTGTGAACATATTGTAAAAATTGGATTTATTATGTTACTCTTCTGCGGCGAGTAATGTTAAAGTAATTAAGTATCTACATACCCAAAAGCCCATTAACCGCAGTTCATTTTTTCACATCACAATTATCTGATAAAAAAAAAGGCAGCGAGGAGACACAAATATCAGCACCGATTTTTTCAATGAATACATTATTCTCTGTGACCTCCCATGTTTATGCAAGACTCTGTCTTTAGGGCACTGCACTCTTCAAAATAGTTTGAAATGCCTGGATTCAACACATATGTCACAAAATGAAGTTTCCGTGAACAACTACTTTGACTAAATAATTATGATGTGAGACACATCTTGGGTTATGAAAGGATCCGAAATTAAGACCTGTACCGAGAAATTACATCCAAAATAGAGGTTGGGTTCAGGTTTGCTCCAGAATTGCCTCCTGGCATAAATATTACGCTAAACACTGTTTTTGTTTTCAGGATAAAGAGGTGGGCTGTGCTCATAACACCCTAGCTTCCTCGTATTACCAGAAGTAATTTGTGTCGCTCTGTGAAGCCAGCACAGTAGACAGGCTCAGCAGCGGCATGCGTCTCCAACCCTCACTATTCCCGCCATTTCGGAAAACGAGTGGCGCTACCTATAGTGAATTGGACACGCGAATAGTTGGTGGACCTCCATAAGGTTGTTGACATAAACATGTCAACACGGACAAATTGAAAAACCATATCCCAGAAACGCTCGGGCGACCTTCCATGAAAAGCAAATTGGAGCGAAAGCTCGCGCTGCAGAACCGAGGGATCCTGGGTTCAATCCCTACCCCTGCCCGTTTCGATCTGGATGAGCATCGTAGCGGCACGTGATCATGCATCACTACTACATGATGCACGTTAAAGACCCCAGGCTAGCGGTTTTACTGCACTGGCTAAGTTTCTCATCTACAGCTGAGAGACAAGTCGCCCATTGAGGCAGGTGCTAGGCTGTATAAACATACACACACCCCAATTTTTTTTTCTTTCTGGCAGGTTGCTATCCCTGGAAGTCCTACAGGAATTGCATGATTCCTCATTACTTTTTAGTTTCCCTTTCTGTAATGCAAAGTGGCCCACAAAGAGCAGCCTTTCTTTCGTTTTTGTCTACCCACACTTCTTTCCTCATGCACCCCTTAACTAGACGCTCTACCCCTCACCCTTATCATGTTCCAGTGGGGGGGCGCTTCTAAGAACCTAACACCCGAGGTCTTACCGTGTTGGCTCAACTTACTTCTTTCTTATCTCTTTGGTGGGGAAGACACACCACGCTGCAGACTCTGCAGAGAACCATCCTGCAAACTTTACGACCGGTCCAAGCTCAATGAGAAGTGGCACAACAATTTTGCTCGAGTTTTTTAGGTGCCATGTATCATTTCATTCTTTTACTAACAGAATGCTTTCCTCTCTTCCCATCGCGTGATCAGTTTTATTTTTTATGCCGGTCGTAGTGTTAGGTTATTTTGCGTCCCCTTCTGAACAGCCTCTCTTAGTATGGCGCAGCATGGCCTACAGAGCGTTTTCGCCATAAAGCCAACAATGCAGTGGCGGAGGCGGTCTGCGCCCTGGAGCGCCTCCGAGAATCCCTGGGGCCGTCTGCCGCTGACAACGAGGACCTGTCGGTGCTGCTGGGGGTGTTGGGGGCAGACCCCGTGTTGGCCAGGGTGCTCACGGTGCGCGAGTCCCTGGGCCAGCTCAAGCGACACCTGCAGCGACACCCGTCCCTCCTGCCGGATGACTTCGACCTGTGCCCGCTCACGGGGGCCCTGCGGCTGGGCTCGGGCGTGCTGCCGCCAGGGGAGGACGAGCTGGACCACCAGGAGGACCATCACGACAACAACAACAACTCGGACTCGTGCGAGCCGAGCTCGGACGCGGACTACGGCGGGGCCCTCGAGGCCGGGGGCGTCGTCCGCTACTCGCCCGAGGTGCGTCTTCGTCTGCCGCACGGTTGGATTCTTCCACCTGGGGAGAGTGGTATCTAGCCTGGGGTGGACCGTCGCTCGGGGTTTTCGGGTTGTCGTGGCAAGCTAGAGTGACTAAATGGCGGCGCCAGGGTATTGAATTTTGTTTTGGGGCCAACTTTTTATTATTGGCTTAGGTGTCACGCACGGAAGCCATCCAAACTGTTGTGGGAAAGCGACCTTGCGGAGTGGTGAGTTTCAGATGCAACGTGTTTCTTTTTTTGCTTTGGGTTCGCAAAATGTAGATTTTACACCCAAGTCCGATGATTGAGAAGCTTCTTGACCTTCGAAGGTTGTGCGTCCCTGTTGGGTAGTGTGTAATTGCATTCTTTTTATGATATGAGCAAAGCCTCAAGGCAGTCGTCGAGGAGCAGACGACGCTTCGAGCATGCACGCGCTTCTGGGAGAGGTCGCCGCCCCGCAAAAACAACAGTCGCTTCCTGCGGCACTCGGACACAAAATTGGGGACCGTTTGCGACGCCTTTTTCCGCGGAGCACGTGCAGCGAGTGCAGGAGGAGTGTGTCCCCCGCCTCCGCAGTTGAGCGGCTCGTCGTTGCTGCACTGTGGCGGCCGAGCGGTGCCCACGGCGGGCTACCTGGAGGAGTTTGAGCGGGCGGTGTCCCGGGGAGCAGCGGGGCGCCAGGTGCTGCGAGTGGAGCTGGCGCGTCCCCCTGGGGCCAGCCTGGGCTTCAGCGTGGTGGGACTGCGCTCCCCGTCCCGCGGAGAGCTCGGCATCTTCGTGCAGGAAGTGCAGCCCCACGGCATCGCTCACAGGTGGGCTCTTCCTCCCGCTGCCTTGTCGGATTCCAACGCCTCTTCCCGGCCCGGAAAAAAGCGCCTTTAGATACTTCTTCGTGAAGGACGTGGTCCTGAAGCATCGGTGGATCTTCTCGTTGCGGGATGCCCGACTTTGTTGGGCAGTGTCTGACAGGTCTGCTTACCGCATTCGCGGCCACTCAAGTGCTCAACGAGGTCACTATAAGTGGCACACCGTTGACGGGATTCTGGAGTCGGCACAGCGGCAGAGACGGCAGACGTTTGTTTTGCAGTAGGTCGGCGTCCAGAGCGACGTTTTGCGGAACCTCCGACGGCCGCGAGCTGGGATGCTGAGCCGACGCTCACTCTTCTTATGTGCCAAAACTCCTTCGTCGAATCGCCAGGATTGCGACATCCAGCAGCGTGACACATTAAATGATGCGACATAATTTGTTGCCATTTTTGGACCACGTTCGATGCGTGAGAGGGAAAGGACGCCAAACGCACTGGACGAAGACGCATTCTGGGCGTTGTAGAAGTTTTTCTTCCGTTCATCGAGTCGCCAATGAGTGTAGTTAAAACCAGTGTGTAGAGCATCTAGTTCCTGCTATTTGGCAATGTTGCTGGTTGACGCTGGCAATATTACACTACTAAGAGAAAGACGTGGATCAAACATTTTGATCTCGAGGAATGCCTGTCATCTGGACAGCTTAGGAGTATTCCCTCTCAGTTTTGGCAGTGATGCAATAAAGCAGTCTGTATGCCTAAAGATCCCTGGGATCCTGAAGCCTAGTTTGAAAAGCCCAGCATTAGGCTATTTGTGGCGGCACTTGCGAAGCTGCCGGACCCACCACCCCTATGCTTTGTCAACACCGTGCTGTCCCACTGTGCGGGTTAGTGAGGTGTATTTAAGAGAGCCCTCGCTAAGCTGTTGATAGTAGTGTGCAGGGATGTCCCCGGAAACATGAGTGGCTTCCGTCCCACACCGAGAATGAGCGGGGAACAGAAAGTTAATTCACTCCATGGCATATCAATTTTGACACATATAGTTTGCAACTGTAAACTTAGTGCCTTAAAAAAATGCTGGAGACAAAGCGAAAGAGAAGGCAAGTGTTTGGCTCGCTGAAGTGGAGAGAATGAAAAGCTTTCTTTGTGGGAGGAGCTCGTAGCACCACCTTTGCTGATTTTTGTTGTGGCAATGCAGAGATTCCGGTAAATGCTGGAAGCTGCGTGAATCCTGCCTGCCATGCAGGTTCATATTAGTTGGACTGTCAATGTGGTTCGGTAGTCGGTCTTCCTACTTTTTTACGCAAATCTTTACTTGCGTGCAATTTCTTGTCCCTCGCTGATGCACACTTAAAATATTCCTTGTGCAGAGGTTAGGTTGTCTGAAATGGCTTCCAATTTTTTTCGTGCTCTCCAGGCTCTTAAATTGTTCTTTCCTGAGGTACTGCAGCAGCCTCTTGCTCTTTGGCCAAGATCTTCTTCCAGTTTCAATCCGCTTTCAAAAGTTGAAAAAAATTTTGATCCACTGCAGAGTGATGGAACAACTGAGACCACGGAAGGTGCGAGTAGTGCAAGCGGTTAGCTTTGACTCTTGCACCAGCTGTATGAATGCTTGTGCAGCCGGGGCGCAATCGAACTCAAGAAGCTTTCACTTGTGTCCACCATTCTGCAGGGGTTCTGCAACTTCTAACAGAGAGCAACGTTTCTGAAGACTGGTGGGGTGCTACCCTACCAGAAACATTTCCCTGTTTCTCTGCGACACGTTGCCGAAAAATGTGATGTAAATGTGCTCACTTCTTAGTAAAGAAGCTAGCTTTTATTTCCAGGCTAGGATCCTCCATAAGGTCCGATGAGGGGGCAGCATTACTATTGTAAAATCTTTCATTTTATATTATTAAATGTGATGGTGTTTTGTAAAGGGAAGTAATTTATTTCCCACAAACGCGTGCTGGCCAAACTTCCTTGTGTGTGCGTTTCGTTCGGCCGCTAATGATTTGCAATTGTATTTATTACATGCGCAGATTGGTTCGTCCGCATTTTTTTCTTTTTAGTGGAATGAGCCGACGACTAAGTTCGTATCGTCTGCTAATTGCGGTGACCATGTGCCGTGTGGTAATGATTCGTGATTCGTAAGCAGGCCTTTTAACAAATCCCAAAACTAAACTTGGGAAAAAATAAAAAAAAAAAATAAAAGAAAAAGGCTTTTGCGCGGATGAAGGCGCCTCAGAAAAGGGTTATGTGTGTTTGGTTTCGCTTCAGGCGCGGTCGCGGAAAACAAATAAAAGTATGGTTTGTTCCGTTCGGTCGGCGTTCGGTAATGCATTTTTTTGTTTTTGTTTTTTGTGCATGTTGAGATGAGCGGGACCGCGTTCTGCTACGACCCGTTGACTGCAAACGCGAGCGCAAACGGTCGCGAGGATCTTCGCTGTTCTCCGGGAATCTATTGCACGGAGCGGCGAGAGCTCGCAACCCATTTAAAAGTTCCATTCGCGGAAGTGAAGCCCGCCAAAACTAGCAATCTTGGCGACGCGTGTGGGTCGGTCGATCTAGCCGGAGCCCCGCGGCTCTGCCAGCTCTGCTCGGTCCGCGTTCCTTGTTTTGGGCGTGGGCGCATGGCTCATCGATCGTCTGGGGGTCGGCGCGGCGTCGCGGGCAACGCGAGGTAGAACACGAGCGCGCACGAGTAGTCCGCAGCGTCCGAACGTCGGCGGCGTTACCATAGGACCGTGCCGTACCTTCCACCGCGCGCATCAGAGTCGAGAAGGTCGCCGCAAAACCATGAGTGCATCGCAGAGGTGTCGAAAACCGCCGGCGATCGCGGCCGGAGCCGCAAATAGACCGGGACGAGCTTCTCGCGGTCGCGTCACCACCGGCTCCGACGACTGCAGTGACGCGACGTCGTCGTGTTCGGCGCGTTCGCCGCTGATCGCACCGTCGGCCCCCGGCTGCCGCTACGAGCTCGGCCGTTGCTAAAAGGAAGCGTCCTAGGGGTTAGGGATTTTAAGTGCGAGTGTGTCTGCGGTCTGTTCTGTTATGCGTTCAGGCGGGATGGGGCTTGCTTTTGGCGTCGGCAGCGGGCGTCGCGGGTTGCGTGCTCGTACCAAGCTGGACTCGGGATGAAGGGTAGTGCCTCGCGAGCGGGAGTCCGTGTGCGGTGCTGCGTTTGCGTGGGTCGGGGGGTGCGCTCCACTACGGCCAGTGGGACACAGGTGAGAGCCCCCGTTCATATCGGCACTGCCGCCCTTTTTTCGTTTTTGTTGATGCGAACGTGGTCCGCGACGGACCATTGGTGGATACCGGCGACAGTTTGGGTTTGCTTGCGGAAGAACCGTTATCATGCGCCGATAACGCGTTCTCCTAAAAAGAAAGAAAATCTCCCAGAAGTCGACATTAATCGGGCAGAATATTCCTGTGAAAAACTTTTGGTACAAATATCACTGACTAAGATATCCGTGGTTCTCGAGGATTCTTGGATGAAGACACCTTCTACCGACACCTCTTTTGCCAGTTTATCTTTCTTAGCTGTTCCCCTATCTTTGATTAAAAGACTAATGCTGAAGCTAATGGGCATGCATGCTTTAGAGAGTTCATTTAAAAGGACCATGAAATTAATTTTCGACTGGGATACTTTGGATCTCACTAATTGCCCAATGTTTATTGCGCCAAAATAAAGCTAAGACACCAGCGCAGAAAGCCTAAAGCCTGCTTTTCGAAAAAAATTTGAAAATATAGTGGATTGTTTTGTACCTGCTTTCCTTCGAAAGTTCTCTGCCTTTTCACTGTGATGCATCTCTGGTGCCCAAGCACGTCAGCCGAACCCAGTTCACGCATTGAACATGAGCACCGCGTAACTCGAACGTATGCATTTGTTAACAATCCCTCGACGAATATTTGAGTTTTGCGTTTCTTGCCAATGAGTGCCGTCAGACTTGAGAATGACAAGTTCCATGGCATGCATAAAAAGCGCGGTGGAAGCTCTGAGTCATTGCCTCCAGTGCCAAAAGAATGTCACAACCACGTGATTTTTCATTTTGCTTTTGAGTTGAGGATTAGAGGTATGGAGGAAGAAGTTGAAAAATCATTCCATGGTCCCTTCAATAGACCTAGACGTAAAGGTCTGCACGCACTTGTGTGCATTTCGACCGCCTTGGAACGGCGGAGCATAGAAGCGGGGATCGGTGATCCTGGCTGGCCCAGACCGCCGGCGAGGGTATAATAAACTCGTACAAGCGTCTAACTATCACTCGCAGAGTTTATACCGGGCCCTTTTAGCTTTGGCGAGAAAGTGTGGTCATGAGCCGTTGAATATAGAAAACTAAGTGCGATTAACAGTTGTGCAACTTCGGTGCATCGGGGCAAGACGAAATTGCCAATTGTGGCGTCTGCCTTCTTTTACTGGTCTTCCGCCGCTCTCTTTCTCGCTCCTCTCAAGACCGCCGACGCCGGCACTTGCAACTCTCCGTGCTCCGCTGCCATCTCCATGTATCCAGAAATGAGCGGCAAACATTGTGGCGAAACGAGCACACCTAACACATTGTCTGCCCTCTCTTTCCGATTGTCTGTTGTCCCAGGGATGGGCGCCTGGAGGAAGGGGACCAGATCCTGGCCATTGATGGCCAGCCCCTGGACAGCAACATCTCGCACCAGCAGGCCATAGGCATCCTCCAGCAAGCCAGGGGCAGCGTGCAGCTGGTGCTGGCCAGGGGGGCCCCCTCGCCCTCCCCGCCCTCCTCCGCCCCACCTCCCGCTCCGCCTCCCGCCCCACCTCCGCCCCCGCCTCGGCAGGACGCCATGGTGCTGGGCACGGAGTGGGCCGAGGTGGAGGCGGTCGAGCTGCTCAACGACGGCTCCGGCCTGGGCTTCGGCATCGTCGGCGGCCGCAGCACGGGCGTCGTCGTCAAGACCGTGCTGCCCGGGGGCGTGGCTGACCGGGTGAGGGATTCTCCGTCGTTGTTGCGCATTCTCGTTAAGTCCCTCTCACATTTCTACTGCTCAGTGTACGCCGGCTTACGAGGCAGGGCGCTGTGTCTGCTTCGTAATGCTTTCATGTTTTACGTCCCCCTTTCGTTAGCACTGCACGTACAAGAGACTGCTTTGCGCATTTGTGTTCGACTCCAACGGCTCCATGACGAGAGAACATGTTGGCCTCGTCTATCGAGTTCCGATCTGTGTATGAGTGAAGTTTTGCAGCATCTGCGAGGTCAAATCTACGCACTATCTGTGAAAAAGGGTACTTGAGCGCACTCAAATGCAGATGTGTGAACCGGTCTTAATATGTCGGTGTTGTACGTCCCTGGCATGTCCCTCTTCCTTTCCTACCGTGTAGACGTCGCGGTGTATGCCGGCTTACGAGGCACGGTGCTGCGTCTGTTCCATTTCATGATGTGTCGGTGTTGTACATCCTTGTTTGGTCCCTCCTGCGTTACGACTGTGTAGACGGCACACCTATTTCATAATATGCATGTGCTGCACGTCCTTGCTAAGTTCCTCTCCCATCTCTGCGTTTCTCTGGGTGATTGACAGACCTCGGCGAAAAGTGGCATGCCCCCGAAAAAGAGTGCACGCAACCTTATTCGGGGGCATGCCACTTTTGTTGGTCTCGTTCACACGGGGCATCTCTTGCCCGTAACCTAATTTCGCTGCACAAGATTCGCCAACAACATGCATCGTGGGAAAAAACCTTTAACCTGTCTCTGACTATAGTACAGCATAACTGCTAACTTTGAGTTTTTAATGGGCATCACGCAACTGCTCACATCAATGCATGACAGCATCACTAATAAGGAACTGCACCGACTTGCTCCAAACTTGCATACCCTATGTGCTACTCCAAAGCTGCTCTAAAAGCAAATTTTTTCTGATACAAAGCTGCTTCATAACGAGATTTTCTGCTCTTAAAGTTATTCCAAACTGGCTGGACCACCCTTGGGTATGGCACATGCCAACTTACAGGGTACAGCAGACGCTGCGCTCTTCGAATAACGAGTACCTGCGTACGTGCAGTGGATTCAGCTCCAGTGAGGAAATGCTTACCTTCTTTTTTTGTCCCGATGAATATGTTGCACTGTAGCAAGCAAGCTGGGAGATTGAGACAGTGTTGAGGCAAACTTTTGGAAGTACAGAAATATGCGAGACTCACTGCGGCATAATCCACTCGCCCTTAGACTGGGTGTGCCAGCAGTTATTGTGCGCAGGAGAGCCTCTGCACATATCGAGGAAGTATTCCTCATCTCACTAGACAAAGAAGGCAGCTCTCCATGCGAGGGCGGGAGCGTGATCACGTAGCAAGAGATAGACATATGGCTGGTTTAACGAGCATGTGGCATGCACCGCACTGTCGGCTGAAGACTGGTTCGTACGTTCGGTTGCAACTGGTTTCAAGCCTTTCGCAAGTGCTTACGACCAGCAGCGCAGGCGGTCATAAGCAGTCGCCGGAGGAACCGGGTGAGGCACACGAAACAAACCTGTGTGATCCATCTTTTACGGGTGAAGGGAGCACAGCATTGTACAGAGCGGCGTTCCAAGGAGCCGTGTTCCTTGCATGCATTCCTTTTAGGAGGAATAAAGGAACGCCATTGTTCCATCGCACATCAATAGAACGGGAACTCTTTACGTTTTTGAAAAAACAGCAAAAGGAGCAGTACTCTTTTTTTCTGCTTATTTACACACGTTTTTACTCGAATTCAGTAGGCAGTTAGGCTTTTTATTATTGACTATTTCAACCTCCAACCTGGAGGGACGGAGAAATGTCCGTGAAATAGTCGAAAACAAAAAGGCTCGAGGTGCACCTAAGCACTTCTTATGAGTTGTAAATGGGAAAGCACGCATGCCACCCTACGCTCCCTTCTTTAATCTGCGGCGTACAACGCGCTGACCTTGGGCGTGGAACGGTGGAGCTGCGGCCTCGCGGACATGCAGCGCCATCGGGTAAGCGATCGTTCAAACTGTCGTGTGCCTTGCGGCGTGAGGAAGGAACAGACAGCAACGTAGTTCCCAGAAGAACAAACCCCTTGGTTTATTCTATGCACTGAATATGCTGTACAACCGATAAGAGGTTAGCGAATCTGGTGATCTCTGATAACGCTACAGTGTGATAACGCAGTTAGGATGACACTACACAAACTGACGTGCAGCGGCCAATGGGACAGAAGTGCAAAAGGTGCCGTTGGCTAGCTTTGCGCGTGGTTTCATTAAGGTGTCGTTTTGCATGGTTTCAAAGCTAATGACGTCGGCTCGATCAATGAGACAGTCAGTGCTTTCGCATTAAGAAACTGGAAAAAATCTGATTGTGGCGACTTGACATGTAGCTCGATGTGGATATTCCTACTCGCTTTCCTCTGTATACGGCGCAATATTTCATTAAAATGTGCAAATGTAACGACACATTCCTATTTTAGAAGTGTAACTAGAAGGCGTTCTCTTGGATCCGCCACAACGTGTAATAGGAAGTCGTTCCAAGACGTAGAACGAATGCCCCTTCAATTTTGGAGGAGTGCAAACAGCACCGACAGAGCAGAGACACGGCGTCCTCACGCCTGTTGTTGGTGGGGATTGCAGGACGGGCGGTTGCAGAGTGGCGACCACATCCTACAGATCGGGGACGTGAACCTGCGGGGCTTGGGGTCGGACCAGGTGGCCTCAGTGCTGCGCCAGGCGGGGACAGGGGTACGCCTGGTGGTGGCCCGGCCCTCGGAGGCCGGGTCGGAAGGGGGCTGCCCCGTCCCGGCCCCGAGGCCGCCCCCGCTCCCGCCGCCGATGGTGCTGCCCACCCGGCTGCTGGCCGACGCCGAGGAGCTCGAGCGCCGGCTGCTGCTGCACGAGGCCGCCCTCGCGGGAGCCCCGCCCTCGCCCCTGCTCTCGGACGTGAGTGTCTCTGTCCTGTACTACCGAAACGGCGGCAGATTGCGTCGTGGGAGTCGGCCGGCACGTCGCGACTTCGGACGTTGCGATTCCGGCGCTTGTTCGTAGAAGTTTAGGCAAAATGTAGGAGGGAATGCAAATGTCTTAGTCGTGGCGGCGTCCCCGCTCCTGTGTGCCGTAGCTTTAGCGGACGGTCAAGCCGCAGAGCAACCTGTGGCAGAACGGGTGTCCGCCGTGTCCGCCGCCGGAACTGCGGCTGGTGCGGCACGAATGGGACGTTGTCGGGAGGACCGAAAAGGAGGATGTGGTGAAAGTCGAAGATGTTATAAGCACTATGAGTTTGCTCAAAAAATTCATACAAATTTCCTAAAAAAAAAAGCGATTGCAGAATTGTTTTTTCGACGCCTTAGTGTTTGCGTAGAAAGGGAAAGGCCCGCCACATTTGCGAGCACTTCAACCGCTTTGGATCGGCAGGGCTTAGAAGACGGGGAAGAAAACGTAACTCTTTCAAAGAAGTTTTGTTTCTGTCCCCCGTCCTCTATGTTTTTTATTAGTTCACACATCCGTATCTGATTCACCAATACGCTCGTTTTCAATTATTAGAGGTGGACATTGGCAGTCCCCACAGACTATTGGTGAGGTTCTAATAAATGCGAAGAAGCTGCAAGATATCGTCCGAGACATCGGTACGGAGCTTTTCGGGCTTCGTTCTGCAAGAAGGTGCAGTCGTCGTGCTATAGGCGGCGAGCTATTGCGCGCCTTCGAACTGCCACGACAAAACGGATGCGGCAAACGCGTCGTCCGCTTTCATTTTATGTTTGTACATCGCTGCCTCTCGTCGGCGCTCCGGAGGTTTCAGTGTGTAATTACCTTGATGGATCGAAGTAATGAAAAATTTGCTTACAAATAATCGTCACTTTTCCAACTATGTCGTTATGCAACGTGGGTGTCGGCTCAATCAGTTTTGTATAGTTGTAATTTTTTATTTTTTTTAATGACATTGAAACAACAGTTGCAAGTTGACTCTTGGTTTTCTTGAATGTCCTTGGGCTTGCGTTTGAGACTGAGTTCTCACAAATTCTCGCAACGGAAGTACACGTCGGTGCATTCTACGAGATGATCCTGAGACTGCATTTCACTAGAGTGAAGGGTTTGCAGTATTTGCGAGATGCAAGAACTATTTAGCAAAAATAGTTGTCGTCAGAAGTTTTTGGAGCCTAAAAAGAAAAAATGATGTGCAGAAAGATGACATATTGCACTCCACGGATGCGCCGGTGTGTTCTCTGGTCGTAGGAGAGAGCAACAAGCAGTGCGTGAAGCAGTCTTTCCTGATGCAGTGTGCAAATTAAGCCCCTTTTGCACGCAGCGGGCACTGTCCCTGGAAGAGCTCCCGGAGACGGAGACCTTTGAGGTGGAGCTGGTGAAGGACCAGCAGGGCCTGGGCATCACCATCGCCGGTTATGTGTGCGAAAAGGGGACCCAGGGTGAGCTCCTTCGGTCAATTTCACACTTTCTCACTGCTTCAAACGACCACTGTGGCGTTTATTCTGGCAAGAGAATAAAGGCAATTTTGTTTTCGTCACCATTTTTTTGTTTAGCAAAAGAAATACCATGGTTGGCCCACATATTTTATTATAATTTTGCACAAAAAAGGCATTTTGTAGCGTGAGCTATACTGGCCGATGTTGAGCAGTTTTATGTGACTTCGGGAGAGCCGTGCTGCGCATGTGCGAGGAGCAGTGACGTCACACAGTGCACAGCTGGCGCGCCGGAGCCGCCGCCGCCACGCGTGCCACGCCGGTCTGCGCATTTCAGAGGAGTGACGTCATAGCCGCGGCAGACGCAATGGCGCCACCGCGTGCCCAGCTGTGCGCCTCCGTTGCGCGGTAGCCAAGTCTGATGCTGCACCGGAGCCGCTTGATAGCGCCTCCAATTTTGTGCGCATAAGCTCACGCTACGTATATCCTAACGTAGCCAAACTAAGCCATTGCATTTTTTTTTTTTTTTTTGATGTTGGTTTATATGAAACAGGTATGTTTTTCATATTACTCGGGAGAATTTTTAACTTGGTAGTTTCGAAAGGTAAGCACTCTATCTACGTGCACTTCTGCAGTAAATTGTAGTGCGATACATTAAGAAACCAGTTTATGTGGTTCAGAGTGCTAATGCGGCGTCGGACCCACCTTCTAAAACGTGGATTGCACACATTGGTTAAAAGGCCAAATATATTTACTTCGCATGTGGGCCCCTTTAGCCGGTTCGCAAAAGTGGTTGATAGAAATCTGCAAAGAAGATCAATGGTACTCGTGGAACCCTGCAGAAGTTGAACAAAGTTGAAACATTTGAAAGCGGTGGCTTTACAGGGCCAACCAACCTCAGGAGCCGCGAAAGCACAAAATCTGTAGGTCGGTCACTTCGTAACCGCTAAGGGATCTTGAAAATAACACTAACCGGTGCCAGGGATCAAACCGCACTCACCGGCATGGTAGCCGAGTGCACTGCTGGCAGCTACAGACCCTGCACGCAGGAACAGGATGAGCAGAGGCAGGTGGTGTGAGGAATTGTGTGGAGTGGAGGGGTGCTGGGACGGGCAAGAAAGAGAGGAGCAGAAAGAGTGTGCAGAACAAGGAGTGGAAAGGGCAGGAAAGCACGCTTCCCGTCTCTTGGTGACCCAGTAAATTCAGCGGAAAGACTGTTTCAGGTGCTGAAGAGAAGTGCACGCAGCTTCACAAAGGCAATGGTGTGATGTAATCTGTTTCCATACAAAATCTTGCCCTAGGCATCACCTGAACTAAGCGCACCATCCACCCTATAAAGCTACCGCATTTAAATGTGTTTCGCAGAGTGACCAAACATGCAGCCAATCTTTTGTTTGAGGTAGCCATTGGAGGTTTGCCAGCAGCAATTTGGCTGGTCTAGCGGGTGTTTTGGTAGCACCCGTGGACAGTGCTTTCCTTGTCCCGATGCAGACGAGATCTCTGGAATCTTCGTCAAGAGCGTGGCCAAGGGCAGTGCTGCGGATGCGAGCGGCCGGATCCGGGTCAACGACCAGATCATAGAGGTGACGACACTCGGACTTGCCTCGTCTTTGCAAGCTTTCGGCTCGAGGGTGCCTCCTTGGGATGACACTGCCGGTTGGGCTTAAGGGGGCACCAGTCTTTGAAGTGCTTCAGAGCCGACAAATGAAGCTGCATTGAGACTCTTAGAAAGTTGACCTAGGGTGGGGCGACTCGTGAGAAGAAAAGAATTCTCTCGGTATCTGTGGCCACTTTGGCAGTATTTTTAATACTTGAAGAATTTCTCTCGCAGCCATATTTATCACAGCATTTTTGCCATGTTTCCTACCTTGCTTCCTTGCTGCCTGCTTGTTTACTAGTCAATGCCCACTTGTCCCCATCAAATGGCAAAAGGTAGAAAGAAGTCAATTTTGAGAAAGTTACTTTTTTGATACATATTACAGCCTTTCTGCAAAATATTGTTGCTCTGTGCTCTTGGCGTCTGCGAAAAACGCTTCAAGAACTTTAATTTTCTGTGAACGTCAAGTTGGTCCATCCAAATTTCAAGCGCCTTTCATACTTTTTTTAATGGTGCTGATGCCTTGCAGGCTTTTTCTGAAGTTTGTCTCGGGCCGTAGTGATAACTTACGAATGCAGCTTTGCCAACCGTACAATGAACTTGTGCAAAGGGGCAATTTAAATACCAATCTTTTGGAGAAAACTGACTTTAATACGCGTCTGATGGGGCTTTTGCAACGGGAAATATGGCACCGGCAGTATCGTCTGTTTGCCGCTTGCAGGTGGATGGGCGTGCCCTGCAGGGCTACACGAACCACCAGGCGGTGGAGGTGCTGCGCTCCACGGGGCGGTGCGTCAAGCTGCGGCTGGCGCGCTACCTTCGGGGCGTCAAGTACCACCAGCTACAGCACGCCATTGCGCTCTCGGAGGCAGGGGGCGCTTCCCCGGGGGGGACTCTGACCCCGAGCCTCGATGCGCCCTCCGTCGCCAGCCTTCTGGCCACGGAGCCGGTGCACGCCGCCGACCTGGACGCCGCCTCACCGCTCGCCGAGGACCAAGACGACGCCGGCTACGGTAAAGGGCTCTGCGGGTGGCGGTTTTGAAAACAAATTTGCTCCTTTGAATTACCACCCAAACATGCAGAATGCAATGGTGACGTATACGAAGCGTCTTCACGCTTCTTATACGTCACCGGCCAGCAGGTGCCATGCTTTTACTGCTTGAGATGCATGTGACGGCCAAGCGTCGTTGCAGGCAGGAGCACTGGAGGTGCGACGCTCCTCCCTGCAATTCACCGTGTCAGACTAGCGACCAAAACCGAAGGCGCAGCTCAAGTTTGTGGCTGAAAGTTATGTGGAGGCACCTTCGCACGAAATGGCGTCTTTGTTTTCAAAGCTTTGCCCTTACGTCGGCGATTGAGTAGGTTGTCGCATTTTGGTTGCCGACGCTGTCCACATCGGCGAGGGAGTCTCTTTTGCGTCTTCGCTGGTGATGCAGTTTACGTCGACGATCGAGTTGCATGTCACGCCATCGCTGCCGACGTTTCCACGACTGCATCCATTATCGCGTCTTCGGCAGCAGCTGTATAGAGAATGTTTGCTTTGGTGGCAGTGGCAGTCTTTTACACAGCATTCTCTCCCGTGAGGCCTTTCAATAAATTTGAAAGCAAATACTGTTAACTTTATTTTTGCAGCCTCTATATTTCGCAAATTATTTGAAGTGTGGGTTTCGGGAATATTTGAGGGTCATAATATTTTGTGATTTGGAGGGGTACGCTTGGTGTTCCTTACCACACAGTGATTTATTTGCGCAATATATTTTTCTCAATATATCTGAAGTCTGGAACTAAGAGAAAAGTGGGTCCTTTGAAAAATTTAAGTCATTTACAGTGCACTTGGAAGAACTTGTAATACAGTTTTTTTTATTTTGGTTTTAGTTTGAATAGCTACAGACATTTTGTAAAGACTGAAAAGCTTTGCTGTGCTCCAAGTACTCGGAAATTGGGATTTAAAAAAAACATTAGTTTTGCGCTATTTTTGATGCCCTCGTCCTCCCTTAGAAATGTGAACAGCAATGGAGAAGGTGGGAAGTATAGATGCGTATTCTTCCAATGTCCAGTTGGGGAGCTGGACCCAAAGACGGAAGCAGCCATTGTGGCCCACTGGAGCAAGCGGATGGGACCAGAGATGGACATTGTGGTCAGTGAGCCCTTCTTTCTTTCTTACCTCTTTTGCCACCCCTGCTCCAGAAGGATGGAAGACGACACAACCGTTTTCCACTTTGCTAGTTTAAGAAAGAATCTTTCTTATAGCCTAGCATCGGGGACTGAACTTTGCCGCATAGTTTCTTGTCATGCGTATCTTCGCACCAGCAACATGGACAGTTGCTTTGTTGCGCCCTTTGAGGCGCGCGACAAAGCGAGTGGGAGGAACTGGCATGGCGCCACTTGAGTCGAGGAACGACCCTCGTCGCAAGCGGTCGTAACTGTGCCCCTTGAGCAGCGAGACTAGCTCGTAACTGTGCCTGGACTTTATTCTGCAGTCTTTCTGCAGGTCACAGACACAGCAAATTCGTGTTGCACGTTGCCTTATTATTGCATCGGAGGGGAACGCAATCCAAACTTGGTACCGAAAAACTGGGCAGCGCAACGTCCGCCAGTTTCTTGACTTCCTTGCTGCTTTTCTAGAGCCGTCGTTCTGTGCAACAGTCACCTCTAACGAGACAATAAGCAATAATTAGCGCCGCCTTTACCTCCTCAACTCGCACTCAGACTCGCAGCACAACGAGGTCAACGACTTGCACTCTAACAACATCGACGACATTTTTATTTTCTTGTTTAACTTGCCCGCAGTAGATCTGCCAAGTGTTGGCCAGATTGGTATTGCACAGGTACAAATACGCCATGAAAGCGCTTCTTTCTTGTTCTGTTTTCTCGCTTCCTTTTCCTCTCCTTCTTCGTGACGGGTGCCCCGTGCTTCGAGCCGCACATTCCCTGGTTTAGTTGATAACAAAGTGAAAATTCATCTGCCTTCAGCTGGATTATAGATCCCAGCTGGATCGAGCTGGAAATGATCCAGCAGGACAGCTGGAAGTGGACCGATTTTCGCGTGGCTTAGCTCTAAAAATGTTTTGTACAGTCTGGGAGGTGAAGGATCGTGGTTGGTGCAGGTGGCCCAGCTGAGCAAGTTTGAGCCGGGCGGGGGGCTGGGCATCTCGCTGGAAGGCACGGTGGACGTGGAGGATGGCCGGGAGGTGCGTCCCCACCACTACATCCGCTCGGTGCTGCCGGACGGGCCCGTGGGCCTCAACGGGCGCCTGCGGCCAGGAGACGAGCTGCTACAGGTACGAAAGCGACCCATGCGTCGGCATCCTCAATAGGGCTCCCTCGATTGCCGCCCCGTGACGGGATGAAAATGTCGCGCAGTTGCTGGCCGCAAGCCCAAAGGGCCGTAACAGACCGGGCTTTGTGTTTGTTGCCGCTCGAGGACCATTTTGGGCGCATGGGATCCTGGCACCGAACCTCTATGCTGGTCTCCATGCACGACTGTATCACGATTCCAGCAAATCCTAGAGTAAATTCGATAGGAGGAAACGAGGGATGTGCAATGTATTTTGAGCTGCCCCGGGTGTTTGTGAGCATTTCTGAGCTTGGAAGGGTCACGCGTCTCCCGACTTTATCCTTAAGATTATACAGAAATGGAAATTGAAATGTCGCGTTCAGAAATAAGATCAGCATGATGCACAAGATCTGCTAATGACAATTGCACGTTCGCATTTTGAACGGACGGCTCCATTTTTCTTTTGAAACGGCCGCACCCGGAGAGCGGCCGTCGGAGTGTGACGCTCCTCGAGGGATCCCGCGCATTCGTGACGTCATGTTTGGCTTCGCGGGCAAGTCGAAGAGAAGGGTAGCGTGGTTGTGAGCTTCTCCACTTGGTAGCGTCGACGCGTTACAACCTGGTTGTTGGAGGTGACCCATTTCTTGCTCTGTGATGCCAGCAGGCGAAAAAGTGACTCCCCTCCACCTCAACGCCGCCATTACTAATTCTAAATTCCCCTCGTGCGCGGTAATCTCGGGTGTCCCTCGAACCCTCTTCGGAATCTACTATCGTGACATTCGCGAGTGCATCTCGTCGTCGGTTCAATCATTTGCGGATGCTCCTCGCATGAGTTTAATAGGCGCAGGAGGGAAGAGAAATCCAATTTGGTCTAGATACTTCGCGGTGTGGCGCTGCTTTTACGGGAATGGGGATGTAACGATGTTGGAAGTTGCTTTGGGAACGTGCACCAGGTGCATTCTGGAAACCGCTCTATTCGTTCTAACTAAGGTTTTAGTGTTGAACAAAAGGTTGGTTGTTGTCTCTATGGTGCTGTCAGAACGACGTTTAGCAGGGTTCGCACAGGTCCTTCAAAACTTTGAAAACCCTTGAATTTGAAAACGGCGGATTTTAGACCTTGAAAGCCCGGGAATTTCAGCAATGCATGAAAACCCTTGAATTTTCCTATGGTCATTTTTTTTTTTGCAGTAATGGAATTTTTTTTTACAATAATAAAATATACTTTTCTTTTTCGTGTATGTTAACATAAATTTCGAAATTTCAGCGACAAAGTTTTTTTATATAGCACATTTAGACACATTTAGCGAATGCCCGTTAAGCTCTTGGCCACAATGGTAGCAGTCCCGGTAATTCTGGATTCTATCTCTCCCGTCCGCCATCTTGCATTCTTGCCCCTGTTCGCCTTGTTCTCTCGCGTACTGTTTACTAGCTGCTCCTGGTTTGCTTGTTCCGCGTCTGTTTTACGCCACACATGGGGGACATAGGTTAAGTTGTGCGGAATGCCCGGGAATTGCAACTTTCGGCGGTTGTGGCTGGGTCACAACGACTACAGGCACCAAGAAAGTAGAGGCAGCAGGTAACATTGCCTACGTTGTCAAGTCGGAACGGCATAAGGAAAACGTCGAAAATGAAGATGCCAGACCTCCTAAACATCAATCTGGTAACCAAAGAAAAGCTGCAGTAGCTTTACTGAATCCTTTCCTAGCACCTCTTTGGCAAAAGCTTCTTTTCTTGGGTATCGTGCAGTAAAGAATTTTTGCAGTGCATTTTAAAAAGTTGTTTAAAATTTACTAGATATAATATAGAAAGGGGTCCTTGAAAATATATTTGTAGGCCCTTTAAGGTCCTTACAAATCCTTACATTTTTTTTTAGAAGCATGTACGAACCTTGCCTAGACAATAAAATAGGCGCTAGAATTTCATTAACATGTATTTAAATTTACTCCTGTGCCGTGGGGATCACATCCTCGACTTTTTGACAAGCGGTTGATTGCGTTGCAGCGAAACAAACACTCCTAAACTTTTGTCCGCTTTCTTTTTCCAGTCTTTTGTCACTTTCTCTTTTTCTCTTGAGACAAACAATGTTTCTCCTTGCGCTTTCCTGACTCCACTACCCACCGGTTGCATCATTACTGTGCCCACCAGAGAATGAAGCCAAACTTATAGTTCCCTACAGTGCAGTGAAATACCGCTTGGAACAATCTTCGAGGGGCCCATGAAAAATTTTGAATAAGGCTCGACTGGCGCTTTTGGGAGTTTGTCCGAGCGGTCTTTTACTCTCGGTGTGAGAAACGAGGCGGGGCTCTGTGTCTCCAGGTGAACGGGCGTCAGCTCCTGGGCCTGCATCACCGGGAGGTGGTGGGGGCCTTGAAGCAGCTGCCGCTGCACGTGCGGCTGGTGTGCGCCCGCCCGCCCCCGCTGCCGCCGCCCCTGCCCGACGTGCCGCCGCCAAGACCTCCCAGCGTCGACGACAGCCTCTTCCTCCCCGCGCTCGGACAGATCACTGGCAAGTTCGATCGATCGGCACACGAAATGCCTGCTTTCAGGGCCAGCTGTAAAGCATAGAGGAGCAAGCCACGAGCATAGTTAACTGCGTACTGGGATCTGCTACGGTAACTTTACTAAAGCAGTGATCTAAAACAAACAATGCCTCACGTGTGCATTTGCGAACGCCTTATTTTGCTCGGGCTTGCTGTAAAAGAACTTGTTCTTGGGCTAGTTGGTGTTGACTGAATTGAACCATGGTTAAAAGTGCTAAAAAAAGACGTACACAAGACAGAAGACAAACACGGGCGCTACTCAGTAGCGCCCGTGTTTGTCTTCTATCTTGTCTACGTCTTTTTTTAGCGCTTTTAACCATGGATCAATTCAGGGGATTGTGCGTGGCAGGGTGTAATGTCTCGGCTCGGGCCACAGTTCGTTGGAAGCACGCGTCGAAGAACCTCTGGTAGAGCCTTTTCGAGATGGCACGCCATCTACAGCTGCCTAGTTCACCATTCTATATTGCTTAGAGTTGTTATGATGCACACTAAAGGTACAGCTTTTGCTAGTGTCAATGCGACTTTCAAAGTGGAGCAGACAGCAACCACTTTTCCGGTGCTTTTTGGCATTGCTATGGGCGTACATATTTTTTTTTTCTCTTCGCCGGAGAATGACAGGAATTACTTTTGTTACTTAGGTCATAGCGAATAGTATGGAACTTTATTAACATTACAAAAGTGAAATCGCTTTAGTCACACTATTTTTGCAATCAATGAGCAACGTCTAACTTTCCAGTATTCCGGGTCCACTCCTTTGTTCCACCGCAATTCTGTAAAGACAAGCACCGAACCTAAGCAAGAATAACAGTCAGAAAGAATGTACTACCTGTTCAAGGAGTGCCAACAACCCCATAACGCTGATATTGATAATCTACAATATTTTGTATTCCACTAAAATTACCCCCTTTTACGAGTGGTTAATTAAAACACAGAGTGGCTACTCTTACGTTGAAGGAAGAGTAGGCACTCCATTAGATGTGTTTGTCTTTGTATTATTGTGCCGAATTTATCGTGCGGCAAGTTTTTTTGTGCTTTTCCCTATTTTAAAGGTTTTCGAGCATGCAGATATGAGTTTTGAATGCTAGAACACATCAACTGAAGTTTAGGGTGCAAACGAGCTGGCAGTAGTTGAACATAGTAAAAATAAGGAAAAACACCCAGAGATTGAAAAAAAGAAAGGACAGACAAAAACAGGTCTCAAACACAGTGGAATTTATTTGACAACAGTTGGTTTTCATCTAGCCTTCAAGAGCCCATTAAAACATGAAAAGCATAGAATCTCTTTCCACAGAAACAGAAAAGGATGGTGACGACTGATAAAGAAACAGAGAGAATGAATCATCTCCTCCGGAACCCTCTTCCTTTGTAAAAACACACAAAAAAAAAAAGAAAAAAGTCTGAAACAAAATTTTATTGCTAAAAGATAAGGGTGCCTTTTGTTTGACAAAAGGGGGCTCGAACTTGATACATATACCCGAGGTGAAGAGGGAGAACTGACTTTGAACAGGCAACTCGGGGTTAAGAGCGACAATATTGGCGCCTTTGAAAGTATTGTTTGCTTGTTTTGAAAATATAGGAGCCTGAAGTCGGCGCTTCAATCTGTTAGTTTACAGTGCGCCTGAGATTCCCGATGAAACTGAGGAGCAATTTAGAAGCAAAGTCATCTCTGATGTGCTGGTCAGCAGGTTTGCCATTCAGTGTTCATTGATCGCTAGGCAGGACTAGTGGGAAAAGACCCGTTATGATATATATGATATTTTTTTTGAGATTACGCTGAAAAACAAGCCGTTCTCTGAAACGCCAGAAAACTGAAAAGCACTACAATCTATAAAAGCAATGATTAGTCACAGTGTACATTATCTAAACGTAGGCTTTTGTGGGAGACCATGAAGGTTGACAAGACTGCAAAAAAGAAAAGTATCGCTTGTGAATGATGAACTTCAGGTAAATAATGAGTCCTACGTGTGGGATGACTTGGCCAATAAATGGATGAAGTCCTCTTCTTTTACGCAACCTGAACCCGTTTAATGACGTGACGCAAGTGTTGTCAAGAAGCAGCTACACCTTCTCGATTCAAATGTCCAAAGTATAGTATATAAAGAGTTATTACTGAAACCTGGCTTCATAATAAAATTGGCGATGACAGGTCATATTCGATTCACGCAAAATGTTCTGCAGAGACCGTTCTTCCCGTGTGGGAAGTGTCGCGGTTGTACTTAAGAGTAGTATTGCAGCAGTACTTTTGAACCAAATTAATGACCACGAGTCTGTGAAAGTGGACTGTTGGGGAAACACCATTATTTTATACATTGTAGCAGGCGTCCCAATGCCCCCCCCCCCCCCTTATTTTTTGTAAAAGTGATACAGTCACATGTCTGCTTATTGTATGTCTAAGTCTCTCCTGGCTGGTGATTCCCCTTGCCAAATTGGGCGACCAATATAAAAAAAATACATTCTCGGCAGCTTGCAAGAAGCTGGGATTTTGAGGCACAGGCTAAAAATACGTTACTCTGAATCTGAAATTGTTGGCTTACCATTCACTCGTCAGACCTAAACTAGAATATCGTAGTGTATAACTTAGGACCCTCTCATATTAAATAGAATTTTGAAATATAGGAACGAGTTTAAAGACGTGCTGTGAGGTTTATTTATGGAAAATTTAAAAGAACTGATTCGCCTTTACTGTTGGTGGAAACCAACAAAATACAAACTCTAGAACATCGTAGACAAATTGCCCGTTAAAAATTTTTGCACTCTCTTTATAAAAAAAAAAAAAGAAGCTCTTTTTGGATTTAGATTATTATTTAAAGCTGTTTTCCACACACAAACTAGGCACCATCAATAGCATTCCTTGACACAACACTTCGCTCGCACTTACGTGTTTATAAATTTTCGTTTTTCCTTCGCACGATTGAGGATCGGAGGTCTCTTCTGTGTTCAATTATTTCATGTTCACAATTGTCTTTATCACCAGATCATTTCACCTAGAATTGTGTAAAATGTCGTATTAGTTTTTTTGTTTTTTTTTTGTGTTTCAAAGTGTTTTGGTGTTTAGAGATTGGTTCTGCTGCTTGCAGTGTTGTATTGTTTTGCCTTTCTTAAGTTATCTGATAGCTTGCGTTGTGTTTTTTTTTTTATATATACGGGTATTTTATGTTTGTACTTTGCTCATCCTGCTTGAACCAATTGTGGTCTGCAGTATCCAATTAAAAAAAAGAAACACGGTATGACGGAGGGTGAAGCTTGATAAACAAGGCTGTCAAACTTGGAGGAACCTTCTAGGCTCTGCATCTAAATTTAGGGAAGGTTTGTTTACTGCATTCCCACGATTCATAATGGTTATGGACTTCTTTATTAGGCATTTATGATTGTTTCTTTTCTGTCAGTACCATCAACATTAACTGCCAGAAAGGTGCACAATTCTCACCTTCCATTACACACTTTTATCACTTCTGGGTATGGATCCCTGTTCTTTATACAACGCTTGTGCTCAGAGAGGCAATTATTCAGACATTGTTTTGTTTGTCCTCTGTAACATAACCCACAATCAAAAGGAATCTTGTAAATAACACCTGACGCGCAACTAACTTCTTTTTCTTTGCGTTTTCTTCTTTTATAATCAGTCGCGGGAGGTGCAAACGGACTCATTCGACTCAACCTAAAATAATTTCTGAACATTGTGTTCACACCGTACTTGTCAGCAACGGACTTAAGACTGTGCGAAATTCGATGGTAGAAGGGTATACAATGCGCTGCTTTGTAGGTTTCACAATATCCTCGCGCCTTTTCTTAAATGAGGTGAGGAACAATAACTGCCCGAACACATAATTTTTGGGGTAGCCAGCCGCTCCAAACTGGCCAAAGAGGCGTTGAAGAGAAGACCCAGTCGAATGATAACAGGACTTTTTGAGTGCTCTACTGACAAGATTTCGAACGATGCCTGCCTTAACATTTCTTGAACGGCAGCTATTAAACGGCAACTGCAGTTTTGATGTTGGTTTTCCGTATTGCCAGCACAAACTGGAAGGGTTCTTCAGACGGAGATCCAAATATTGTAGGCAACCGTTGCTCGGTCTCTCTGTAGAGAACTTCAACTCTGGAGCACTGCCATATACAGCCTTCTCAGGTGATGCTGCCACCGTAGAATTGGTACTGCAAGCCAGTAAGTCACACATAGACCGTCATCTACATCTTACCAGGACCTCGCTAGGGGAGCATTTACAGACAAGGGCACGCAGCTGAAGATCCAGATAACTTGGATAAACCTCCTACAGAACTGGGGCCACTGCCGAACCGATGCAAACTCCTTGTTTCTGAACGAAATCCCGTTCCCCGTACCGAACGACGGTTGCCTGCAAAAACAACTCTAAAATCCTGAGTAAATCAGTGATGGCAATTCCAGTCTGCGACTGAAAGCGAACAAGATTTTCCTTTTAAACAAATCTAACGCGAGCGAGTAAAATCTTACGTTCTAATGAGTAGTAAAGGTCTTTGCTATCCAAGGAGAATATGGTGCATCGCTTCCAATGGGAGGGGTCTACCTCTGTAACTAAGTCATCTGAACAACACAAGAATAAGGGACCACCGACTTCCAAAACTGTAAAAGCACTCCGAAGGAAAGGTGAAACCTATTTCTGCCACGTACCATTCTGATACACCACGACTCTGAGAGGAAGGTCTACCTTATGGTCTTTTAAGGAAAATTTAAGTCCAAAAGTGTCTGTTGAGATACTTTTCAACCTGGGGACCAGCGACGAAAAATCACTTTCTTTGAGGGTGCCGATGACTTTCTTCTTGATCTCTCTTAGGTTACTGTTTCTTTTATGTTTGGATGCGTGTTTGAAGGCTATAGTATAAACACCAACTGTTTTCACATAAATTCAGCTGCGTTTGAGACCTGTGTTTGTCTTTTTTTTCCCCCAGTCTTGGGGTGCTTTTACTATGCTAGAACACACTTGCCTATGCACTCGCACACAAGCAGCAGAGTAAATAAAACTAATGTCATTTTACAGCAAAGCTGTATACCTCTACCAGCCAAGGAAATGTTTGTGTCGTTGGCATTGTAAGCAAAAAAAACTCCCTGCGAACAATTGAAGCTAAAACAGCATATCTCCTTTGAAATCAGGCACACAGCGTACAGCTCAGTATTCGTTTCAATAAAGAAAAGCCCGAAACAAGCATCAAAACCACATGATGGATGATAAAGCGCTCGTGAACAATAGGAACACCCTCCCACGCGTTCCGGTAAAGATTAGGTTTGTAGCTGCTTCGGAAGGGGTGGATGTCATTCGAAGCCCTTGTGTAAAGTGCAAACCGCATAATGGGTGATAACGGCACCTGCGAATGCGAAGCATGTTCCTTCTCCCCACATGTTTCCTGGTAAAGATTACAGTAGCGTAAGCTACTTCGAGTGGAAAAGTACCCATCAGCATAGAAATCACATAGTGACGTCACCACGCTTTCATATATAACATGTGCTTCACCAATGCAACTCAACCAGCCACCATTCAAGGATCATGCATTGATTTAACCTTAGCAAAGAATATCTCTACAGTGAGAACTGAAAATCTCAGTGTGTATCACACTGATCATAAAGTAGTCGCGAATGTCGTTGTGAAGTAATAAAGGGTGTGGTTAAGTACATTTTGCTTGTTTCTGGTTTCACTCTTTGTAGAGCCACGTGTGTGAAGTTTCAAGTGACGTCGCAATGGGTAATCGTTCTAAGTGTCGTTTACAGCTTCACTGTCCTACCACCTTCACAGCGTGGATTGGATTGGATTGGATTATTCTCCTTTACTTTATTTGATTATCTACATGCACAGCTAGGTGCTGACCCAGTGTTAGTGCGGGGTTCTTGACGTCTCTTGATTTTTGATATGCTCTTCGTTGCTTTGGCACGTAAAACCCCCTGCAGAAAAGCGCTGATGCCGCGTTTGTGCTAACAGCGTCGGACAGTGAACATAAATATGTGCACGAAACCACTTTTGCGCAGTTTTTAATGCCACGAATTTGACAGGAAAATGCAATAACTGACCAGTATTTTAGTCTGCATGACAGAGAAATGTTCCGAGCTATCTAGTACATATAAATTATTTTTGATATTTTCTTTTGTTATCAAGCGCAGAGAGAAAATTCACCCACTTTTTTTTTCCCATGGAAATGCATTACCGGAAGTCAATTTTAGACTGGTTGCTGTCTGCTTCAATTTGAAACCGCACACTAGCAAACGTGTGCCGCTTCGGTATTAGGTGAGGACTTGAAAGAAATTGCGACCGCCAACGTTGCTTGACGGGGTTTTAAAAAGGGCCCATCGTTACGCAAAATGTCACCGTACGAAGGGTTACGTCACCGCAATCCGTTCCAATCCGTCCCATCCCGCAGGGCCCCAGAGCCCAACGGACACGGGTGGGCGTCTGTCTTCCGCGTCGTCCGCCTCCTCTCCACCGCCGCCGCCGTCCCTGGCGGGTGGCGCCACGTGGACCTCGCTGCCGGCGTTGGTCAAGGCCAAGTCGGACGGGTCCCTGGCCCAGCCCGACTGGGAGGAGGGCCCGCTGGTGAAGCTGCGCTCCCGGTCGCTGGAACCGCTCACGGGGCTGGCCATGTGGAGCAGCGAGCCTCACGTGGTGGAGCTGGTCAAGGGAGAGAGGGGCCTGGGCTTCAGCATCCTAGACTACCAGGTGGGGATGCTGCCGTGGACCGGCTTTCTTGCCGTTGGCCGGTACTGGGTAGCAAACACCCGGACTGCGTCTCTTCGACCGGCGTGGTGTCTCAAAAGACTCGATTTGTGCTCGACAACTTTATGGAGCAGTCTGGAGGAGCTTAGTCAGTTGGGGAACCGTGACAGTTCTCGCTCGCTTTTTTCACTGGCATTTCTGCCACCGGGATTGGAACAGCTTCGGGATCATTTCCTATCCTTGGATGGTAAGGATAATAAACACTACGGTTTAAAGGAGCTGTGCAACGATTTTAACGTTGAAAGAATTGGCATTTTCTGCTTTTGATATTGTTCACTGTGTCACAAATGGCAGAAAACACACCTCCTTTCATCGAAATGTTGCTATTCAGCCGCGTAATAGCGAGGCAAAACTTATAATATTTCCCAACCTGTAGCCACGAGCGGCGGCCATGAGGAACAAGCGGCGTGACGTCACTTGGGTAGCTGTAAAAAAGATAGCAAGTTGTGCGAATACCTGCTCGATAAAAGGTAACTTTTCTATAAATCTTGTCATTCCAACTTAAATATAAACGAGTCAAAACCCTGGCAATCATCCACAAAACTTTTATTATACGGAGCTTTAGTGGCGCCATCTATCCTAGGTCCACAAAACCGCGAATAGCCGCCAGAAGCCGGAGGGGGAGGGGGACAGCGCCGGACGGGCAAGGACGGGTATGGCCGGACCCGGATGAGACTTTCCTCCTTTCACCGTATATTTCGCGGGGCGCCCGCCAGCACGTGGTCACGCGGTCGCGAGCGGATGAGTTCTCGCTGCTTGCTGATGGCTCTAAAGAGAGAACTTTTCCCGAACCCCGCGCCTACTCAAGTGACGTCACTGCACACGTGACCCGGAAGACGATGTACGAGTTGAGAGGCGGCAAAAACCTGGATTTTTTTCATTTTTTTAAATAAAAACTAGGGTATCCAGGCAAAATTCGTTTTCTGTAGTTCACTGCAGAAGTGTCAGGCATCAACTTCCACAATTATTTAAGCAAAGCCCTGACATTGTTGCACAGCTCCTTTAAGACGCATTCCAGGTACCGACACTTCAACTACGTACGCTGCGCGACACCGTTAACACGAACAAGGCATTGCCATTCTTTTCTTTTAGAATAGAAGAGCTTTCATCAAATAGTTTGGTAGAAGGTACACATTTGCTGTACCTTCTACTTTGTACCTCCTTCTTTGATGTAAAATAACGAAAAGTGTACCGACAATGGTCGACAAGCCGGTCTGCTCAATACCACTTGGGAGGCTAGGCCCCCTCAAAAGTCATCGCTGTTGGATCCACGCTGTGCTGCCCAGCTCGCGTAGGCATCGCCTCCAGTGCGTCTCGCAATTCGCGCGACGCTGGGACGGACGCATCCACCGCTTTGTGGCGTCTCTCGTCGATCTGGGGCGCACCTGCAACTCAAGGATCCACTAATGACGACGTCTCGGGCCAGCCTTGTCTTCTAGGTAGCGTCTGTCCGCAACACGCGCACGTAGGCCGTCCTGGAAAAGGCCCACTCCGGTCGGGTCGAAGCCGGTGACTGTAACCTGGGGTGCACCGTTGCAGGACCCGATGAACCCGAGCGAGACGGTGATCGTAATCCGCAGCCTGGTGCCCGGCGGGGTGGCGCAGCAGGACGGCCGGCTCATCCCCGGCGACCGGCTGCTCTTCGTGAACGAGGTGCCCCTGCAGCACGCGGGGCTGGACGCGGCGGTGCAGGCCCTGAAGGGGGCCCCCCGGGGCCCCGTGCGCATCGGGGTGGCCAAGCCCCTGCCCCTGCCGCCCGACAGCCCCGCCCTGGCTCAGGTGGGTGCCTGCCACCACCCGCTGGCACCCCACCGGCCGCCCCTGCTCAAGGCAGAGAGCTTCTGACATCTCGGGGTCGGCGTTTTCCCACACGTTCGTTTGAGGAAGTGGCGAGTACTGTCGCTCGCAGGCTGACTGCGACGGCGGGGGCTGTTCCGGCCCCTTCTCACTCTGTCGGCGACCGTCGTCTGTTGCGGGAGATGCGGGGCAAGCTCCTCCCGTAAGGCCGCTTCCCTGGAGGGGAGGGAGCCGTCGACGGGAGGCTCTTGTCCCGCTCTTCGTAACCTGCAACAGACTATCCCACTCCGAGACGGTCTCTTCATTCGTCTTTCTTGGAACGTACACGCACCGGTCACCAGCAAAGGCCACCTTCCAAAAACGAAATCCTAAAGTTTTGTTTGCTTTGCTTCCTTACAAGTTTTGAGGCCACATGCCTGGTTTTTACTCTTTTTTTATTTTGTCTCGGCTCTGTTTATTTTCTGCTTTTTGGTTTTGGATTAGATTTCGTTTCCGGCGTTCTCTCTATTGTTTGTGCGGATGCGCACCGATTCGAAAAGGCTAGGCAAGTTTCGTGTTGATTTGAGTCTGGTTCCACTCTACGATCATCGCTGGGTCGAGACTTACAAAAGTGGCAGGTTAGCAAGTTCTAGTTGGGAAGGAGTTGTATCTCTATGTTACTTGCGCTCAACGCTTAGCACAATTTGTTTTTTTCTTTCGTTGCTCTTTGGGTGTAGGCTTTTTTGTTTTGTCGTGTAACGAAGCAGGGGGGGGGTAAATCTTCTGCGCTATTTGATTGCTCAAATTCGCTCGAGGTTTTAGATTTTCACGCTTCAGATAAGAATGGGGTCATTTTTTTCTACTTGATGATCGAAGAAAGATGCGGTGCTCCTTTAATCTGGGGAATTACTTCAGAGTAAATCATTTGTTGGCATTTTTTTCTTTTTTTATGCGCTTCTCTCTTCAAAAGAGGAAAAGAAAACATTTTCTTTCATTGTCAAGCACATTGTTTTTGTGTCTGTTTATCATCATCACATCTTTCAGTTGTGCAGGCTGCCAAATCCGAGATTGGGCGAGAGCGTAGTGGGAAAGGGTAGATGCCTGCATTCGAGATAGCGGGTTCCCGTCTTCGTGCTTTTTTGCCTTTCTTGAGCGAGAGTGTCTGTGTATGTGTGTGTCTGGTGCTCTAGCGAGTGTCATCATTAACCTTCTGCTGCTCCAATGTTTCTCTCTCCCTCGCTTCCTCAGATTTTTTTTTTTTATCCGTTGTTCTTCTTGCAGAGGACCTGTTTGTGGCATGTATACTCTTTCCCCCCCTGGAGTAGCCCATTGCGCTTTATCGAGCGCGGTTAGGGCGGTCCGATTGACGATGTAGAACAGCGAAATCGGAGGTGGTTTACGGACCGGGCCAAGGCCAACTCTCGTTCCCGCTCACCGAGCTTGTTCTCCCGTTTCCCCCGTTTCCAACTACTCTCGCTTGTGGCAGTGGCTGTTTTGTGGTAGATGCGTGCTCTGCCAAGCTTCCTACATAACGCTTTAAGGTGGTTCGCCATTTTTTGCCTCTTATTTCAAGCCCTAGATTCACTGCACAAAAGGTGGCACCATCGTTCTCTCGCTCTTACATGGACAATATCTAACGTTGCCTGAGAACGCCTCGTCCACCAGTACTTTGTCTGGAATCTTGGAAATGGTCGCGGTTGCCAGACTATATTTACGCCGGCTCTAAGAATCAATTCGACGATCTAACTTCGTACTCTTATCCGACTTATCGCTAAATTTTGCCGAAAAAGTAGTAATGCTAATCTTTATTTGCTCCGAAACAACCGCGACAATCTTGATTTGGCACACCTTCACAAGAACGCCATATGCGCAGGTAAGAAAGAAAAAGATAACGCCCGCCGCGAAAGAAGGCAGGATAGTTCTGGGGGACGTCGGGAGCTTAAGTGGTTAGTCATTGCACGTAGTCGTAGCCATTGCCTCTTCACAAGCGAGTCGTCGAGACTCCCGACCTCGCCGAGGCGCCCGAAGCCTCCCCGCCTTTCCTCCCTCCCCCGCAAAGCGTTTTTCGGAACGTTGTGCTCGACTGCATGCGGTAGTTTGGCGAAGCCGGGACTGCCGAGGGCCCAACAGGAAGGGGGGACGGAGCGTGCATGCTGCAAACGGGGGCCCCAGAAGCGTTGCTTTCCTTTGTCTCGTCGGAGGCGGAGAGTCTCCCTGTACCGGAGGAAATAAAGCAAATGTGGACCTAACCCGGACTCGTTTGGATGGTGCGTGCCCTCGCGCGCTGAGACGCCGGCGCCCCCAGCTGCCGCATGCTTTCAGCACAATGTCGGTCCCTGGGCTGCCCTCGCACCTTCTCGGAGGGGAGGGCGGCCATCTTTTTTCTTTGTTTCTGCCTCCGTTGGGCCGAGCTCCGTTTGTGTGTTGCGTGTGCTCGGCGGCCGTTCTCCCGGCACGCAGCGGCACCACTCTCTTCCTCTCTCTCACCTCTGCACGCCCACCGCTTCCTCTCCGTTCCCTTCGATTGGCGGCGGCGCCCAGACGTCCTCGGAGTGTGAGGCGCCGGCGGTAAGGCATTGCACCTGCTCCGCTGTACATGCTTTTGCACTGGTTGGGTCTCCCGAGCTTCTGGGCTTCAATGAGAGGACAGTTGCTTTGTTAGTTCCCCGTTTTCTCCTCGGTGGACGGCTGCGCAGGTTCGCGCAGTCACGAAAGTTGCGCTTAAATGAGGCGCAATCTGCTTAATTTCACTCCAGTATTCGGGAGTGAAAGCCATTCCATGTGGCGTTTTTATGGCTCGTGCACCTCATGATCGTCATTGAAACTGGAAAAGGAGTGCACCCATATATTTTTTTGAAAATTGTACCCTGGGGATAGCCGTAAAGTGTCGACTTGTGCACGAGCATGTACAGCATACGGTGGAAGCACTTTGTGCATTGTTAACGCCGCAAGCCTGAGCTGGCACTCCGAAGGTAATCCTCGCTACCAATTAAGTTATATCTAAAGGCCCAATAGAACATATTGATTATTGTTGAAGGCTGTTGAGTTACAATGATAGTTGGCAAGCTCTGTGCGTGCCACGAGGTGTTTCAGCGACAGTCTTTCAGATTGGTCCGTAAAACGTGGGAATAACTACTTTCTGAAATTCGGTGTAGTTTACCAGTAGCTTTAGAGCTTTCATATTTTTTAATGTCAGTAATCGTAATCTTGTAGCATTTTATATCCACTTCTATACACTTCCATAGGCTAATGGCAGATGGGGATGTTAAGGCAGTGACTCTTTCAAAGTCCACTTTCAAATTAATTCTAAGTATTATTTGGCAACCTTGACGCCACTTCCTGAAGAGGTGAACAAATTTTTAAAAGTTTTTTTTTTTCTCATTATTTTGGACGTCTTAGACTTAGAACCTTAGAAACTTGCACCACTTTGGACCTTTGGAGTCCAGAGTGGAAAGTTATCAAAAGTGGCAGGAACGCCGTGTTGCGGTTCAACTCTCATTTTCTGAAAAATGTGCAGTCGACTGCAGTTTTTATAACCTTTTAAGTAGTGCTGTGCAAATAGTGGATTTTGAGTTCGAAGTTAATAGTGGTTTTGGCTGAATATCTCTGATTCAAATATTTATGAAAAAACAGTTAGGGTGCAGGGGAGCTGGTGTAAGTTTACCATTTTTTAGACCACCTGAGACTGGGTGGAAGAAACATGACGGCGTCTCAAGTATTTAATAGTTTTTCCACGCCTTTCACTACCATTGCATCATGCTTAGACGAAAACCCAGCTAAACTGTTGAAAGTTGTTCATCTTGTTAATTTATAAGCTAAGATTAATCTATATTTATGTACTGTGACCTCAGACGGTCTGAGTTCTTGGGATGGCAAGTAAACGACGGATTTGACATAAAATGAATCCTATAAAGATGGCCAACATACCCAGTTGAGTGAATTTACAAATCTTGCTATATAAAATATTCTCTCTTTAATCTTGAGTTAAAAAAGAAACAATCGCGCACGATGAATGCAAGTTGTAAGGGCATCTCTGCCTAACATATACTCTTGTATCACAGTCAGTTTAGTTTCTGAAACTTTTGCTATGGTGTAGATATACACATTCACGGAGTTTCCATTTATTTTCAGATACAGCCGGCACGCATACACCATGCCGCTTTGAATGTATGCTTCTCTTCCAAGCGCGCAATCGCGATATTCATACTTTTCCAAGTGTTTATCGCTGCGGGTTACCTCGTTGAGTGCACTTCTTACTGAGCACCGATGTAATGCAGAGAAGCTCGCTTCTGCGAGTATTGCTTCTCCACAGTGCACTGGTGCTCGGTAAGAAGCACACTCAACGGGGCTAGCCCGCCGCAATTAACATTACGAAAAACGCAAATAGGGCAGTTCTTCTCTAAGTCAACATGGTATAGTGTATTATTCAAAACTACTATTTGAAATTTCGAATATTCGCACAATCCTACTTTTCAGTGATGGAGAATGCAAAGAAACTTCTCAAAGTACATCAGCTATGAGGCTCCATGAAAAACCAAAATGAAAATCTAGACTGAATAGCAAACCTGCGAAACTCGGCTAAAAACGAGGCTGGAACCAGATGCAGTGTGAAACTTTGCAACCATATAAAGATGCACTCCTGCAGTTGGGTAGGCGTGGAGCACAAAAGCGCTCCAAACACGGTGTTATGTAGTGTACCCACTTGATGTTACGTGCAGGTAAGATAGAGGGATATCCAGCTCGCCTTTGTGGATTCTATATTTTAAGTGAGATGCTGCGAGATGACGTGCGAGAGCTCGGAACATCACTGCCAGGCATGTGACGTCCAAAAGGCTCAAATGTTGAACCAGCCGAGCGCACACGTGCTGAATAAGACATTTCCACTGTCAACTGGGACCCAAACTTCTTAGGCATGCGTTACAGCGACACATGACTCCATCAACACAACACCGACAACACCATGAGAAACTAAACGGAACACAACTGCTATCACTGCGGCAACTGCATTGACGGAGGTTGTTGAAATAATAAAGACACAATCGCCGTGGACACTACTTTGACGCTTTGCAGAAGTGACGTCGGTGACGTGAAAAAGATTGTAGAAATATTTTGATAGAGGACATCAAAATAGTGTCTTTTCTTAACCGTTTACTTCTTGTTTCATTTGTGTCAGATTGATGGCAATATAGAAATAACTAATCTGTATGATGTACTGATTCGAGTCTTTGCCAACAGATTGATAAGGATCGATTGGATTAGAGCCTGAAATGAAAGCTTATGCAGTGCTCGTATCAAATTTAAGTGCCTTATTGTGTTATCTGCGTCTTTTTTTTTTTTTTCTCTTCACCCACTATTATATTTGCCTTTAGTCCATGGAGCCTTATGATAATTGTCATTGAACTAGCCAGGCCTGGAAAGGGTCTATCGATAAGCTCTTCTTTTTGTACAATGTTCATATGAAAACATTTCCTTCCACATAAGAGGGCCTTCGACAGTTCAGACAATACACCATTTTTAGAAATTCCTGGTCGAGTAGCTTTTGGTATTTGCACGGTACGGGCAGTTCACTGGCAAGAACAGAACATGCACTTTTGCGAGTGAAGCATGTGCCCTTACCAGTAGCTCTCAAGAGAGACAATTAAGGTGTATGGCTTCTTGACCTGCTTGAATGACACAGTTGGAAAGTCAGAAGTAACTTCTTGAAGGCTGTTTTCTACACACCTAGTGTTCAACTTCATACAGGGCTTGAATTCTTTGACAAATTGCTCAAAACTAATTCCAAAGACAAACCATCCATTCGGCACAGAAAATGCCTTTGGCAAATTAAAGCTATCTTAGTGTGTTAGACTAGTGAAGATACTACCTAGTGTAGCACGTTTTTGTTAGATATGCGTCGAGAAACTGAGGGGAGGAGGCCGAGCTCTGGTTGGATTGATTAGTGAATAGACCTAAAGCTTTGCCTCCACTGCACTCATTGAGCGCCTTCGAATGCAGAGCGCCAGTGTCCGCCGCTTGGCTTTCGCAACCAATGCGTTCAGACGGATGCAATGGAGACAAATTCAGCTAGCTTTAGGTCTACCCACTGATCATTCGAACCAGAGCTCAGCGTTTTGACATCACCGCACACTCTCGTCTCCTCTTCTTCCTCGGTTCTCGGCGCATTATGAAATAATGTGTCGCACTAATATAGTTCGCTCACTCCGCTCAGCCATGGATGGCGTGATTGGCCCCGTGGACACCTTCTTGCACGTCCATTTACATCATACTTGGCTGCAGATGAATTACTGGAATTTAATTCGTTTTTGCATGATTTGTAATTTCTGTGCACTACTTTGGGCTAAAAGTGATTGTAAATTATTTATTTGAAGAGCTACAAGCATAAAAGATAAGCAAGGATGGAAAGAGTAACGCATTGTGGTATGTCCTCCTAAATTAGAATTACTGCTACTTCTGCGATACCTTTGTAAAGTGGGAGTGCATTTGCAGGGAGTCATTGGCATGAAGCAAAGGGACAGGCTTTGGTAGTCCAAAAGACTATAGACGCTTTACACACGCGCCAAATTCCTTCTTTTGTCTTACCAAGATGCTGAGCAACTGAAACGGTAATTGATGATCCTCTACAAAGGCCGATGCTTTAGAAAAGGACTCGGTTGAATCTAATGTGGCAATAACCTGGCCTGCTATGTTAATGATGAAGTGAAATAAAGAAAATAAGAGGAAACAAAAACTGAAGGTCAGTTATGGCGGAGTCCATGCAGAGCTGCTGCAAAGCGTCTATAGCCACTTAAGCACAACTGAGCAATTATCCAAAGCCATGGCACACGCCAGAAAAACCGCAAAAAACTGGGCATGCACTGTAGCGATGTGCAAGTCGCCATTCAATTAATTCAGTGCCCGATGCATTTGCCAGACAACTTTTACTCAGAATTACCACAAAAAAAAAGAAGAAAAAGAAAACTACTAAAGAATGCAGATTTTATCTCTAAGATAAGAAATGATCTTATTTATATTATCCCACGAGCAGTAATCTTGGTCAAATAAGGGCACAAAATGATAAAGGCATAACACTGATTGCACTATAGGCACATTGAATACTGAAGTAAGGGGCAAAGAATCTACAAAGATATTTAATTGCAAAGAATGCTGTCTGTGAACTGTCACCAAAGTCTGGTAGCTCTAGGTGGAAAATGATTGGAAATTGTTGTAGCAATAATTGCATTTGGTACAGTAGTAATTCTAATTGTAATTAACTGCTGTCTGAAGAAAGTGGTTATAATTGCAATTGAGTTACATTTAAGATGTAATTTACCCAAGTAAAATGTACATCCACACACGGGGTACTTCTGCACTTGCATATCGCACATGAACCGAGCCTTCGACCACCATCTTTGTTGCTTTCAAATGGATGAAGCACCTTGCACCGGAGTAAGGTAGGTGACCCGTGGGAGCCAAGGCACACGAAGGCTGCTTAGGACACTTCTGCAGTTTGTATACAGAACTTCAAACCTTTGCTGGGATGGGAATATTAAAGGGGCGGGAAGTTTACATCAACTAGTTCGTGCTTTCAGTGATGAACCCAGACACTTTGGTAGGAATATTCTTCTTTTGTGAGCTAGAAATGTTTAATTAAAGTTTAAATAAAATTTTGGGGGCGGTTTTTTTTTTTTTTTTTCAGGAGCTTGTTTTTTGGTGGTCTTTTTGCTTTGGCAGCTGGGGGATCCCAAGAGTGCAGGCCATTTTTTTTCTCTTCAGTTTGCATAACCAAGTGTATGGACAGATGGACAGGACAAAAGTGCAGTAGCTGTTCCTTCATTTCGTACCTTTTGGTTACTTTGTCTCGTGTGCTACTTCGGTGGCCCTTCACTCCTATTACCCGAGGTGTAGTTGCCACATAATCAAAATTCTCGGTTGGATGGAACATGACAGTCGACACAAACAAACAATTCGCAGATTTTTTAAGTGGAAAGGTTTTTGCATTTAATAGTGTCCTGCACAGTGCTTATCTGGGCACCATTGAAAATTGGGGCGAGTTGGTTATGCATAGTTACGAAGAGGGAAACGGCGCCAAGAGCACGGAGGACAAAGAGCCAGGTCTGTGTGTTCCTTGTTCTTTGTCCTCCGTACTTTTGGCGCTGCTTCCCTCCTCATCTGGGCCATCTTCCTAGGCTGGCTCTAAAAAAAAGGGATCTCCAAACCCCGGTTGGTGGACACGTTCTGGCTAGACCACAGATGGCCGCTGTCTTTCCAGTGACACGTGGCCCGCAGTCTGCTGCTACGAACACAAAAATAAGTGGACGTAGAAAAAGGTGTCACGATGCGCACTAAAAGTGCAAACAAAGATATGGAAAAGAAAAAAAAAACTGCTTCGAAATGCGGGTTCTCTTGCCATACTATCGTACATTGTCATTGCCAGCATTATTACCCTACTCTGTGTCTGCACGACTATGACAAAATTGCTTTGCAGTCTCATGTATACCGTTCCTCTAGAGTGTTTTCACTGACATAATTTTGCCCCCCATTTTGTTGTTAGCTGTTTGGCGTGTGCCGAAAGCGAGCATTCCTAGGATTCACATACCCCCTTAAATGCATAGAGCACAGAAGCTTACAAGTCTTGCCACGCTGACATCATCTCAACAGGTTGCGATATAATCTGTCATATTTGTAAATTTGTTTGAAAAAACAAAGTAACAACAAAATGGCAGGGTGACGTCGTGTGAAAACACCCTATAGTGTAAAGCTCGCTTATATTGTCATCGGATCTTCCGTTCTCCCTAGACATCACAATTATTTTGTAATCCGAATTAGCGACAGATTGCATAAAAAAAAATTAAGTGTATAAATTCCCCTTACTTTCCTTTTTAGTTATTGCTCTGGTTTAAATTATTTCTATTTAAATGCTTATTTATTTGGTATTTGTTCATTTATATTGCCTATTTCCGATCCTGGAGACTGCAATAGGTCCCCAATTCGGCCCCTTGGCCAAAACGTTTAGAAACTCTCAAATTATGGCACGTGCTACTATCATGTCCGAGTAAAATGAGAAAAAGAGTGGATGCTGCATCGATGCTAGCTGTGCCATGCAGTGTGCATAGCTTTTCGGCTGGCCTCTAGTAATCCCCTTTGCTGGTGCGTCTTCTGTGCTCTTGGGTGGTTTGGAACTTGAGCCCTCCCAAATTTAGCTTTTTCTTTGTGTGGTACGGGTGGAGGTGCCCCACAGGAGCCTTCTCTGCTTTCAGCCGGGTCAGGGTGCAGACGAGTCTGTGTCTGCCGACGCCGACGACCTCGACGCCATTCAGCCTCCCGAGGAGCTGTGGAAGGCCTCTTCGGGGACTGTGGTGCTCCACGCCAATGGCAACCCCCTGGGTACAGCCACCTTTCGAGGCTTTTCATTTGCCCCAGAAGACGCGTAGGAAAGTCGAGCGGGGCGTTTGGAAAAGCGCCGCATTTAGCCTGCTGCACGTGTGGACTGGCCATCAAAGCGGGCTGTTGTTTCAATTGTCATATTCACTTGGGCGGTCATTGATGCATTCACTTGCCAAAAAATGCTTCGAAATGGAAAAATATGGTAAGCGTGCAGGCAAACTGGCAAATATTAACCATGTTGAATTAACCTGAGACACTTCTATGTTTTGTTGTTTCTTCTTTGCTCCAGTCTCAGGTTAATTCAGCCTGGTTAAAATAAAAAAATAAACAAAAACATTAAACCTTGTAACGCCGAATTAGATTGCAGCTTTTGAGGAGGAGGAGGGAGGGGTACTGAGGGGAAGGTATACCCCTCCTCTCTCTTCCTCACCTCATACTACCTGCTACTCCTCCCCTCATCCTTCAAGCTCCTCCCCTCCCTCCTCTCCCCTCTTCCCTTCTCTTCTTCCCCCTTCTCCTTCTTCCTCCTCCTCTCTGTGCGGTGCATTATGGGATATTTCCCATAATGCACAGCACGGTCACGCTGACGGCGACGCCGCTCAAGCCGGAAACGGGCGCTTAAGAGCTAAGCTCTAAAAATTTGAGCATTTGATATTAGGAAGGAAAGGGCTCAAACGTCCCTTCTGGCTGGCAGGAGCCTACCTGTCTCGAAAGGATGGCTAAATGAGGCCAACTAGAAGGGATGGGCCTACCTGCTCAAACAACCAGGCTTCGTGACATTGCGGTGCACTTTGAATAGCTCGGCTTTTGTTGCACTTTGGTCAGGTAGGATGGTCCAAAAGTGGTATCTCACTCGGGACATATTTTCTGGAAGGAAGTCTCCTGAAGCTAGCTCTCTAGTGCAACATTAATTTTTTTAAGCTTCAATTTAGACTTTCATACTTGCATTGGGTGAAAATTTGCCTCGGACTCATATGTTTTGTTTGTTCCCTCATATGGGGCTGTTTGCTGTTAGCCACAATCTGCCGCTTTCTCGTACGCTACACCCAGTTTAATAACCAGAACCCTGCATTAAGAAGGGAAGAGTTCAAGAACCAGGGGTTTTAAGATCATCGCTGAACTGTCCGAGAGGAGCTGGCTTACTGAACCACATTGGCTTTAAGCAATGACGGGGAATCGCTGATATTCCGATTTTATACTTTGAGGCGAGTGCAGTGGTCTAAACGAAAGAATAAGGAAAAATTAGTAGAAATGGTAGTTGCGACAAGACATCCTTCATTTGCAGCTCTGTCTGCTGAGTCTGTTAAATTTTTTCTTTATTCTTTTCAATCTAGAATTGGACAACTCCATGCAATGGAAAAATACTGCGCTTAAGCTTCATGATTAGAATGTATAACATTCTAATAATATTTTGCGTCAGTCAAAATGCTCCTGGAGTGCGGTGTAAAGGGTTGGAACAGCATCTGATACTATTGTGCGTCTGCTCCTGGCAGTAGATATTTGATTTACTCGTACGACCTGGCTTGATTCAATTGGGAGCTTGGCAAATTCGTAGCGATGCAAGATGGCAAAGGCCTCATTTTTGTCTCATTGTGTCACAAGACAAAGGAGGAAAGGCTGGTGACCCGGTCATTTGGGTTACCAGATCGCTTAGATGGCCCATCACTTCAATGTCTCAACAGCTTGGATCACTTGGGTGATCCAATCGCTTGGGTCACCCGATCGTTTAGGTGGCACCATTACTCGGGTGGCTTGATCGCTTAGGTATCACTTGGGTGCCCTAATCGCCTGGGTAACCCAACCACTTGGGCAACGTCATCACACGGGTTAGCGATCACTCAGGTAAACCAATCGCTGGGTCACCCATTCGCTCTGCTGACCTCTCGGGAATCGCTTGAGTGCTGGTGGGGTGACCGCTTGCTTACGCAACCCTCGGGTGGCAGGCCTGAAGCTGCGGTGGGAGCACGGCATCTGGACGGTGTCGGACGTGGAGCCCGGCTCCGTGTGTGCTCGGCACGGGGAGCTGCGCCGGGGAGACATTGTGCTCTCCCTCAACGACCAGCCGCTCTCCGAGAGGAGCCAGGGGCAGGTGGCCGCCCTACTTGCCAAGGAGCTCGTGTTGTGAGTGCCAGCTTCCTCGCCCATCCCGGTCGCCGTGTTCGCCGCTTGCATGTGGTTCCTTTGAGGCAAAGCCTACGAATCTCCAGGTGGTAGGTTCGAATCTTGGCCGACTTGCCCAAATCCGGCAGAGTTACCGAGAGGTTAACTGAGATTTTGGTTGTGCGTCAAGAGATCCTCCGCCAGGGCGTGCCAGGTGCCCTTGGTTGGTTTGGCATTTAAAACCTCCAGGTTTGACTTTTTGAGTGTGCAACACTCAAGCCGGCTAGGTTGCCACAGTGCTCTAATGCTAGTCCAGCGATACACAATATAAGACAGCAGATGTTCTGTAGCGCACAGATATCTACAAGTGTAGACTGCAGTCTTTTTGTCTATCTTCTGAAGATTGTTACTTGTACAATAATGCGCAATGATATGAAAGTCAAGTCAACGTTGCAAGTGTTTCCAAGCTTTAACGTGGATTTAATCATAAAAGGTGGAGTTTGGAATAATTTGGAGGTCAGTGATGGGACCAAAGTTTGATGACGCATTCAAACTGAGCCTCTTGTTTAGCCACTGTCCATCTTTCTATTATAGTGCTGAATCTCGGAAAATAGTGTTTAGAGTCCGACACTGCATTCGAGCTCGGGGACCACCCCCCTCACATTTGAATATGGCAAATCGATTGCATTGGCTGCATCTAAACAACACCCTAACACACACACACAAAAAAAGAAAAAAGAGGTGTGTACGAGTTTTATGGTGGCTGTATACGTGGGCATATCAAACTAATGACAAATCAAGATCAAAAAGCGTGTTGGTGAAAATACAAGAGTCAAAGAAAGAAAGAAAGAACTGTGCTGTCTGTCCTTGTCCCCAAGTGTTTTTATTCTTTCTTTGACTCTTGTGAAAACTAATAAGCCACCGCTGTTTCCGCTTTGTCGGTAACACCTGGCTTGCACGTCACGTCGGTCCGCCTCTTTTTCAAGTGGCCAGAAGAGTCTCGCTAACGCCAGAAGAAGCTACCCTCTCACGCGCCCTCTCCTCCATTATGTCCGACCAAAGCCATGTATAAGGAACGTTCAATTGTCTAAATTTCAAGCTGATACTAGTATTCACTCTTTTTCGGGAGGGTTGAAAAGTGGTGGCGTCAGTGTGGAAATAGCCCTCAAACTCTTTCAGTTCTGAACTAGACGGCGGGTTTTTGCAGTATTTGTGAGATTGAATCTGCACGCTATCCTGGGGAAATGGTTGCTTATGCCACTGTCACACATAATTTACTTTTACGGCGAAAGAAAGACGCGTAAAAAATGAGAAAATGTGCCCGTACCGGAAGTGTGCCATGGTTACCCAATAGATGGCGCCACTGAGTTTGTTGCCAAACGAAAAAGTGTGAGTAATGTTGTGAATGAAAGCAAGAAACGTTTTTTATGCAAGCATTGGCTGCTTTTTGCATTATGTTGCAGCATCCGGGTCACCAATTTGTGGTGCATTGGATGTTGAGGACTTAACAGACGGCCGACTGCGAACTTGAGTGAAAATGTTACGTTTAATCCACGTGCCAGGAACGGTGTGCAGTATCATGCTGGAGCGCAGCAAGTCGTGGCACACCACACCATTCCTAATATGACACGTCGCTGACCGGCCAGGGGTTCACTGCCAGGTTGGCATCCCCACCCGGTGGGTCGCCTCCGAGGATTACGTTGCATTGCTCCCGCAGCTGGCAGCCACCTGCCCTCGAGCCTGAGCGGGGATAGAACCCACTAAACTTCGAAACCACAGCACTGCTGGATCGTTGTTCCCACTGTCTGCTGCCTTCACTATGCCCTACCTCAACCTTAACCATAACCTTCACGTTCTGCGCACGCTGTTTTGCCTCGTCATTCCGCTCGCGGCAGATGCCAACTCCTACGAGCCTCGTCGGCTACTGCCCGCAGAATCGCTCCTTCCCTTGTAGCCTGCTGCAGGCCTTCAGGCAACGACTCTATTGGGGGGGGGGGGGGGGGGGGAGGGAGGGAGGGAGGGAGGGAGGGAGGGAGGGAGGGAGGGAGGGAGGGAGGGAGGGAGGGAGGGAGGGAGGGAGGGGAGGGGAGGGGAGGGGGAAGAGGGAGGGGGAGGAGCAGCAGTCAATATGTTGTCCAGCGTCGCCACCAACAAAGACGATGACGCTGCTCGTTGGCACGAGCTCAACGGCACGTGGATTAAGTGGAACATTTTCATGTCCGTCACACCACCTCTTTTGTTCTCAACATTGAATGCGCTTACAATGTTAGCAATCCTTTGTTGCAGAATCTTTTCATTGGCTTCATGGGAAACCGAAAGAGGGATAAAATTAGGAGGCTAGGGACTCTTAGTGCAGTTTGTGTGGATTGATCTTGTTGGTGGCAATGTGTTCGTTGGCAGCATCAACTACCTACGAGAAGTTGAAGAAGAGAAGTCTCCAACAGAACCCACTCCACCTGTGCCTGAAGCAGCCGTCGCTCCTAAGTCATACGGAGAACAACCGGACCAGCCGTACGTACGCTGTTTGTTGTTCCAGCGTGGTGTGTTGTTTGTGCCTTAAATATCGTAATTAGGGACCAGAATTGGAGAGGAGTTTAAAATCATCTGTGCCCATAGAAGAGAAACAAAGAATGAGGAGGAACTATGTAGTTGTAGGCAGCTCTGTCACTGCAACAATCAATCAACAAACTTTGTGTATAGATGTTGTCACGTCAGCCTTTGTGTTAACATATCTAAAAAGCTTCTAAATAAGCTATTAAAGTTCCAAGTTCACAGATTTCATTATTTGCAATGTGCAATGTAGAAAGATTTAGACACAAGTATCGCTAAGGGAGTCACATAAAGTGCACATAGCAGTCTAGTAGTACCTGGAATGTTTACACAGCACATTATCAGTGCCTTTAATTTCTGTATTGATAACGGAAATTATGTTGCCTGACGCACTTCAGTACGGCTCCTAAAAGAGTCATAATGGCTGTGTGGTCACTGTGCCAGTGCTTTTCAGAACCAAAATTTGACAACATAGCAAACTATTTCGTATCTCTTTTCCTTCGAAAGCTCCCCGCCTTTTCACTGTGATACATCTGCGGTGCCCAAAGCACATCACTTGGCCCCAGTACTGCATCCCTATACTCTATCACTATATACTACATACTCTGTGCACCCCTAAGCTGACAGTGCGGTGGGAGCTCCATGCTTGCTGGACCAATCAGCCACCTTCCTTTCATCATGTGACCCCATTCTCTGCACGCCGGTATGTGCGAGGGATTGTGATCACGTGGTAAAGGGTAGAAGTGTGGCTGGCCCAACCAGGGCACATAGGTTCCACAACAGTATCAGGATAGGGGTGAATGGAGGATAGTTGCTCGGGCAGTACTGCGGTAGCAACTTTTTGTCCGAATATTGAGAGACAGGGTAATTTTCTAGGGGGAGAATGGCGATGTCTGGGTACACGAACGAGGGTCCGAGCAAAAGGGAGTTCGTCCTTTCCCTCCTCTTGAACCGCTAGCGGTGTACTCTGGAAACTCTGCACAATTTATGAGTTGAGGAGGAAAGCTAAGGAAGAAGTTAAAAAATAATTTCATGGCCCCTTTAACAAATGTTAATGTCACGAAGTGACTATAATTAAGCACGGAGGTCATCGCTATAAGGGCAGTACTAAGGAAGCCGCATCAGAGAAAGCGGGCATTGTCAACTTTGTAAGTCATCGGCATAACGCAGTTTCCCGCTCTGCTTGCGGTTGTAAAACTTGGATCTGTGATGGTACGAAGCCCGCAGTTGGCTGCGGATTGAAGTAGTTTCGTTGCATGGATTCCATGAAGCGGCAGGATACTGCCATGAATGAATGAATTTGAAGTTTTCTGGCGCAGCAGCAACATAGGCCATAGTGCGCCAATGGATACTGCCATGCTTGCAAAGCCATACGTGTGCCATATCTGCATTTGTCACCTGTAATTAAGCTATCAGATCGAAGTATAAAGAATTAATGGAATACATAGAGGTACCTTTTTCATTGTGGCACTAGAGGGAACAGCTATCTTTTTTGTAGCTCAACAATACAACTGGCAGTACTTTGCCGATAGTTATACGGGTGTTCCGTACAAAGTAGTAACCAAAATCGACCGCACACTAACAAATAACCAACAAATGTTGATTCTTTCGCGTCCTAATGCTAAAACAAAAATTTAACTTTTTTGGTGCATTTGGGTGGTCCTCGGCAAAGTTTTTCAGTATACCGCTTGTCCCAAAAATCGTAAACTGTAGTCGAGTTTCCAGTTCCTCGGGGACACGGTTCATGCTTGGCAGAAGGACCGGAGCCTCCAAAGCGCCCGGCGAGTTTGAGACATCGCTTGCCGGGCTTCTGGCTAATCTCTTCTAATCCCGTTAGTGAGCCCGCCTCATTTTTGTATTTTTTTGCAGGACCGAAAGCGGCCGCAACGTTGCGACGACGACCGCGGCAGCGCCGCGGAGAACGTCGCTGCTCGTTCCGCCCACCATTGCAGGCGTCTCGTCCTTGGGTCTTCCGCCCTCGCGGAGGCACTCCACGACGGGCGAAGAGATGCCGGGTGCCGCCACCTTGCACCACGTGCAGTCCCCAACTTCTCAGGGTGAGGAACCTCCGTATTCTCGGTCCCGGCGACGGTGCCCATGTCCTGGGCAGGTGAGACTTGGAAAACGTCCCGACAAGGGAAGGAAGGAAAATAACTCCAAGAAATGGTTGCCAGAGGCTCTGATCTGAAGGTAGAGATGTTCTCCTCGTGGGTTTTTCTCAATAGAGGACAGTGCTAATTCAGAATTTTTCGGCATTTCCCGATTCGGATAAAACCATCTTGAGGATTAATCTTGGGGAGCTATGTGCCAAACAATATTGTTTGGTACATAGCTCTACGTCTGTGGGCTTTGTAAAGACAGCCTACTTTAGGGGCGGGGAGCCCTCAACATTATTTCAGGGAATCTCTGGGAACTGACAGAAGCTTTGAGAGCCACTCATTTGTTACTTTCATTCGCACAGTTATGCACACCCCGCAACCGGCTTTGGGAGCACCTTTTAGAGCACAGCTCTTAGGCGCCCCTTTCCGGCCTGAGCGGTGGCGCCGCCGGCGTAACCATGTGGTGCGTTATGGGTAAATTTCCCCGCTAAATCTAGCGGAAAAATTTCCCCGCTAAATGTAGCGGAAAAATTTCCCTGCTAGATCTAGCGGAAAAATTTCCCCGCTAGATCTAACGGAAAAATTTCCCCGCTAAATGTAGCGGAAAAATTTCCCCGCTAGATCTAGCGGGAAAATTTCCCCGCTTAGCGGAAAAATTTCCCCGCTAAATGTAGCGGAAAAATTTTTCCGCTAGATTCCCCCCCCCCCCCTCCCCCCGCCGAAATCATGTGACTCCCCCAAGGTCACGTGACCCCCCCCCCCCCCCCCCCCCGAAATCATGTGACCCCCCCAAGGTCACATGACCCCCCCCCCCCTCAGTACCCTTCCCTCCTCCTACTACTCAAGAGCTGCACTCTAATTCGGCGTTACAGGGAGTTGTAAACGGCTTTCACTTTTTACTAACGGCCTCTCCACAACTTCCCATATACTGGCGGTCAAAATGTATACTGTTACTCTCCAATGGCAGGAAAAGGCATCTTCGTATCCACAATACCAATATGCCGACACGGGACAAGCGACGAAGCTCTCGTCCTGGGTTGCTCGTTTCTTCGTCCGTGTTTTCTTGCGCCATTTAAACCATATCACGTATAGCAAATACTAACTAGTTCTCGACCTCTTTTTTACGCTTTGCTGCCAAAACGTTTCTGCAGCTGGTACTGCGCAGACGGCGCAAACACCTCCAAAAACCCGTCGAATAAACGAGAAAAATGTCTTGCGTCCGCTCGAGCCTTCGGCCTTCGTTTTGTTGCCACCCGTCGGGTCGATCGACTGACGCACATTGGTACGTTTTTCGCTTATTTATTTCTAAATTCTACCAGCTCCACTCGAGCTGGCACACTATCAAAAATACAAAAGAACGACAGTGCACTGAGGGAAAAACTGTCTAAAACGTAACTCGACGGCGTCTACGATATCGAGTCACAATGTCGCCGGTTGAATTATTTCGCCTCGGAATTGCCCGAGGAAAGGAATGTCGAAACCCACGGACGGGTAGAGTGATGGAGGGAGGCGGTGGTTTCAGAGCCTCGGACACCGTCCCCGAGCCCCGGGGGGTCCCCGCTGCCGTTGTTGGGGGGCCGCAGCCCGTCCCCGCTGCTGTCTCCGTCCCAGCAGTGGGGCCCCGAGCGGGAGGTGTCCCTGGTGCGGGAGCCCCAGCAGCGCAGCCTGGGCATCAGCATCGTGGGGGGCCACGTGGACCTGTTTCGTCACTCGGACCGGGAAGGGGGGGTCGCGGGCATCTTCGTCAAGAACGTGTTGCCGGACAGCCCCGCGGGGCGCCTGGGGGCCTTCGGCAGAGGAGACCGCATCCTTGAGGTGAGACCCCGCTCCGCCCGAACAAAGCGGCGTGCGCTGAGCGAGTTGCGGCCGATTCACACGCTTGTCACCGCTTATGACCGCCTTAAGTGATCGCTCTAGACCAAACCACACTGTTATAAACGACCTCGTAACTACAGTGCAATCCACTTATAACAATAATGAGAAAACCCAAAGTTGCAGTCGTTATAACCGATTATTGTTGTATCTGGACTAGAAACTGGTCATTTTTAGTCTAGAAACTTTATGAACTGATCGTTATAAGCGGTATATCGTTATATGTGGTATCGTTATAAGTGGATTGCACTGTAGTGGTTAATTTTGATCTTGCAAATAGCGCAAAACCTTTGCGGACACCTCGTAGGTCGTGCCAGTGTGTCTTTTCGCCGTAAGAGATTGCGACAACTCGGTTGTTGGCGATCTGCTTTTCGCGCGGAGGATCAACGTCGCGACGCTTGGCCGCAATTGGAGGATGTGGCGGGTGTTTGGATGTGACATTGTACGTCGGTCGTAGCAACGGCCGCCTCGCTCTTCCGAACGCTTGTCGGGTTGAGTGGCAGGGAAGTTGACCTCGGTTTCCAATTCCACCGGGTCTTTCGGAATCTGTCTTTTTTTTACACAGTCGTGTCGACCAAATGGAAAAGAATTCGAGCAATTTTAGGATTCTCTGCCGATGTGCGTCACCTTTTCTATGCCGAAATGACACCGACGAGTGCAAATCACTCAAGTTACCAAAAGGGGGATTGAGTCGATGGGCACATATTTTCCCATTTTTTAAGTAATTTGTACCAAACTGCCGTCGCCGATGTCTAAGACTAGAAGGAACTCGAGTGGGACATTTGCGAAGCTTAATGATGCAGATGTGCGCTAGACCGAATAATAATAAGAAATTATTTAAAGTGTGGTACGATAAGTATATTAATAACCCGAGGACTGGAAAATGTAGTCGGTCCATATTCTAAAGATTGCCGAGAAATCTATGACATTATGGGCCGAAATCTCACGAAAGTTTCGTTAATTTACGTAATAGATTTCAGGTTTTCATTCCAACCTAGTGACTGATTTGTAGGTTCCATTCCTAGCTTACTCGGTTGGCCCGCCAGCTGTCCAAAGTAGAGTTGATGCAAGTTTCGTGAGCGATTGCTCCATGAGCTGCGGTGCGTTGGCGCAGGTAGACGGCACCGACCTCCGAAATGCCACGCACGATCGAGCAGTTGAAGTGATCCGAAATGCGGGAACGCATGTCAAGTTTCGCCTGCAGTCTCTGCTGCCCACAGTGAGTCCCCTCCACCGTCGTCTGCCTGTAATTGCCTCTAAAAGGAGTCCTTGGTTCCTCCATTCAGCCCAGGGACAGCGTGGAAGAAACTATCCCCGAACCCGCCCCACGTCTGCTGTCCCCACAGGTGAGTGCCTTTGCCCTCCTGCATGCAGGGGAGGCTACCAGTCGTTCGTAGAAAGCGTGCCGACTGTTCTTGTGATCATCTCGCTCTGCCTTTTACTGTGACTGAGCTGGGTTAGGATTTGTCGCCAAGAAGTTGAAGGCTTTTACAGCGAAGCTGTTATGGACTTGGGTCTGGGCAAAAATGCATCCTCACATGTCAACAGAAAACTCCCCATTGGTCGTGGCCAGTATGAAAAAATAAAAATAAAAATAGGGGGCAACCAGCATGGGTCAGCCTTCCTTGGCATTATTAGATAGTGAGGTCCTGATCTCTAGGTATTGTCCTCGAGGTCGTCCTAGAAGTCATCCTTGAGGTTGTCTTAGACGGCATCCTTTAGGCATCGTCCTAGACGTTGTAAAGTTAACAGCTTCACTGGTCCTCCATCTTCACGGCGAAGTGGAAGGGCTCTATAATTTTTTTAATTGGAGTTACTCTCCTCGGATAGGAGTTACATCCCAAGCCCCTCCTGGACTGCGGGGCGCTTTGCACCCACCTCCCTCTGCACTTTGGCACTGCGTAAAACAAAATAATGATAGTAATGACAGCTTGGATGCAAACGAAGACAAGGGGAAATAGTATGAAAATTTAATGCTTGAAAAATGTACTGACAAAAGTGCAGCAGGCACTACTAAGGAAGTTAATTTTGATTGAATACAGATGTGCGAAAACACTCATATCGAGTCATTGAAAAAGTATTTCTTGTTTATTGACACATTTCAAATTGAGCATTGTGTAGTAGTGAAGAATTGATTCTGGAACTACCGCGTTACACTTTTAGAAGGCGATTTAGGTAACTGGACGCCAGATTAGCAAATGCTGCGGGATGTCCTATTCACCGTTTGGCTCATTGAGTTGTTCTGTGCGCACAGCCTTCGTTGGATGCCACGACAGTCAGCCCCCAGCGCAGCCCGCTGGCGATCACCAAGTCACTCTCCCGGGAGTCGAGGCTGAGCGTGAGCTCGCAGCTCAGCCGCAGCGCCAGCCAGTGCAGCCAGGAGGGCTTTGACCAGGCCCCAGAGCCCGTTAAGAAGGTCCTCACTTCGCAAGGCATGGAGGTACGCCCAGTGAACTTCTTCATTGAGAGACCCATATAAAATTCAAAAACACTCATTGCTAAACTTTTCCTCAATTAGGATTTATCTGAAAAACCGCTGGTTTCTATCTTCTGCATTCCTAAGACAAATTTTGCTATTCATTTTTTTTGTACACTTTTGCTCGTAAGTGTTAAAAAGGAATTTATTTGGAACCCTGTCTACTGTAAGAGGGTGACTGCACTACAACAAAACATTTTTGGCCTTTGTAGCTGTTCAACTTAGTAATTGTTCAAGGCTCTTATTGTTCTGTCTATGAAGATTCTGCTTTATTAAATGTTCTGCCTGCCGTTCCCTAACAAGGCCGACGACTCAAAACATCCAAGAAACTTAGAAGTTTGGTGGGCAATAAACGAAAGTTCAGAAAAAATCGGAATTCGAGGTGAAAGATAAACTCGGAAAACACACTTCGATTTTTCTCAAAAATAAGCTGGCAAAACACAGAAGCCGTTGGCCTACTTGCTTTTTGATGGGCTTTTTGGTGTTCTTGTCGACTGATGCCGCACTTTGATTGGCTGCAGACCAAGAATGAGGCGCTCTGGACTACTCTGCGTTTCTTAAACTCCGACATTTTCTTCGTGGTCCCCACCTGAAAATTTGCAAAACACACCAACAAACATTGCTCAAAGAGTATCGCTAATATTAGGTCAAAATGATACTTTTTTGGAAAGTTATTGAATTTACAATTTTGATCCTCATTTTATTTTTCAAACTTAGTCTCTACTGGCAACAGTGGAAAAATGACGCCAGCAGCAGGCAGGGGTTCACTCTCTCGACTGTAGAATTTGTTCCCAACTTGATTCCAAGCTCTTTCATCGTGTCAAATAAATGGTTTGGAAGCTCGCTCGGGTACCCGCACACCAGCGCGAAACAAATGCTCGGCAGGCACGTAGCCAGGGGGGCGGGGCATGGGCGCCTCCCCCCCCCCTCCCCCCCCCCCCGAAATCTTCCATTTTGCTGGGACCCTCCTCTCCCCCCTCCCCCTCATCCAGCATTTTATCATGGGCGGCCCCCCCCCCCTTCCAAAACAAAATCCCGATCGCCAACGTCTACGGTGCTACAAGGCGAAAATAATCGAGCGAATATGGATGTTGCATCACTTGATTGGTTTAAATAAAGTAATTGAAACTCATAAATTTGTGATTATTTATTCTTTATTCTTCGTATCTTTTCGTTATAAACGGAATTGCACGAGTTCAATTGCTGTTAAAAGAAAAAGGAGCCTAGAACTACTTTTTGTCATGGAGGGCCCTGTTGCTGTGGCGGTAACGAGGCCCCGCTGGCCTCGACCATGGAGTTCTATCAAGTGTCTTGCTTCGGCGTCCTTATTGGGTCGTGGGGGGGCCACAGCCTCCACAGACCAGTCTCTGACTCGCTCGGGGCTCCGGTCTTGCCTTTGCCATTCCAGAATGGAGTCTTTTTATTTGGATCAAACGTGCGTGCAAGTGACGAGAAGTCTTGCCTCGTACGATTTTTGCATTCGTTTTAGAAAATGATGTCTGTAACACGTCTCTTTTCCTGCCTTCACCCGTCGTCGGCAACTATACCTACCGTAGAATACCGCGCATCCGCCCATTCCACGCTAAGCGCCCATTCCCAAATTCGTAAGATCTGAGAAAATACGCACAGTACATTTATATCTAAAGTTGATGACCGGACAAGTGCGCATCCCCGATTTTTCCGCGATTATCTGTGAATTTTAGTGAGCGCTTGCCCGGTTTTTTTACGGTATGTGTTTTCCCTCAAAAATGGGACATTGCATTCAATTGTCACGGCTGTCAACCCTCGAAACGTGACTGTCTAAACCCTGTCGGGGACACAATGTGCCAGCGTCTAGTGTAACAGATGGACGGCGGATGTCGGAAGTTTTGCTTCACTTTGGACGACACTGGAACACGGAAGGGTTAAAACCACACTTACAAAAATGCTGTCTGTTACGGTCCTACCTGTTTTTTCTTTCCCATTTGTAAGCCTTCTTTGTGTCTTCTTAAATGTTTTGTTTCGTTGTTTGGCATGCTCTATTCTAATGATGTGGTACGGAATCCTGCTAAACATTTTGTGTGCAGATTGATATGGACAGCGCTGGCAGCATCCATAGGGAGGAGCTTGAAGACGAGGACGAGGAAGAGGACATTTTTGGATACACGACGAGTAAGTGTTTTGGGTACCGGGGGGCACTGGCCAGGCTGCACTGTTCAGACAGCCTACTACCACTTTTTTTTTTTTTTTATATTGGTTAGGGAATTTGCGTGAAAGAGTAGATAGGGTAAGTCATCTTAATGGGTTAACTGTGTATTTGCCTCCTCAGTCTGGAGAGGAGAGGAGAGGGGACGGGACGGGACGGGACGGGACAGGACGGGACGGGACGGGACGGGACGGGACGGGACGGGACGGGACGGGACGGGACGGGACGGGACGAGAGGAGAGGAGAGGAGAGGAGAGGAGAGGAGAGGAGAGGAGAGGAGAGGGGAGGGGAGGGGAAAGGAGGGGAGGGGGTTTCTTTAGCCAGAGCCTACAGTATGAATAAGATTTTCTTGTATACTCTCCTGCTGGCACTAGGGGATGGCTCATGCCATGTTCCAATTTTGTAGGTATCGGGATGATCCTTCAAAAGTTAAAAATAGAAGGAGAGTCGAGAAGCTGCCACATGTTTATCTATTTTATTTTTGAACTTTTGAGGTGCAGCCTTCTTTCAAATGGAAGGGTGCACCTCTTGGACTGCTACATCCATTGGGACATAGTAGCCGCATTCGATTTATTTTCACCTCCTGCACCGGTTCAGAAAATTATAGTGTGAGTGCAGGAAGTACACCGCCCTACACTTCTCTGCACCGGTGCAGGAGGGGCAAGCAAATCGAACGCAGCTAATGTGAAAAAAATAAAAAATACTTGTACGTAAAATACTAAAAGGCAGAAACTAATCCCAGTTGAAAATTCCCATTAAGTTCCAGTTGGAATTTTCTTATTAGTACTGGTACCAATTGGGTTTTTGGACAACCAATTGGTCACTGCCAATGGGAACCTACGGGAACCATTTGGAACCCATTCAGGTTCCAACTGGAAAAATAGCTCCGATTGGTGAGACCCATTGGCCAGTGTGCTTCCAGTTGGAACCCACTAAAACCTATTGGTTCCAGTTAAGGCCCGGTTGGAATTCCAATTGGATTTAATAGGAATTTTTAGCTGGGATATATGCTACTTCAAGGAATGGGAGTGCAGTGAAAGGGGTGGCACTCACTTGGCCGAACGTTTTAGCAAACGTCGACTTTTCATCGAATGACACTTTTGCGAATGGTCGGCCGCTGCGAAGCGGCGTTTGCAGGTGGGCCAAGTGTGTTAATATTTTTGTAATGAGCAGCCGCAGACTGCCACCGCGAAGCGGCTTAAACAGAAGGGGGGGGGGGAGAGAGAGAGAGAGAGAGAGAGAGAGAGAGAGAGAGAGAGGAGAGAGAGAGGGGGGGGGGGGGGGGGGGGAGAGGGAGGGAGGGAGGGAGGAACACCATGCCCTTGTTATTCGCTCAAAAGGCACTGTTCGCTAAAACATCATTTGCTCATGTGATCAAGTTATCAAATTGCATCAAATTTTATATTTTCATGACTGGGGTAATGAAGCCAAATTTTATGAAAATTTGATAATTTTTGACTAGACAATAACAATCTTGTGTAAATTTAGTCTGTATGTTTTGAACAATATTCGAGCCCATTACTGCATTGGATGCATCTAGCCTCAAATTTTGTTTTTGGTGTTTTCGAGCCCTGGTTTATAACAGCCTTTGGCTGGTCAATTTCGTGGTATTTTTATTTTTAAATATCGGTATTTATTTTGCTCATCCCTCTGGATTCAGAGTCGTTTTAAATTTTGCAAGACCTACACTCTAATTTTAGGAAAATAAAATAACACGAAATTTAGGAATTTGGGCTTGGAATGTATTCTAACGATCCCGTTTGTGCTCTTGTCTTTCAAATTTGATGCGCATAGTAGGAGGCCTAAATCAGCGATAAATAATTAATCGATCATCCCGAATAGCCAACATACGCGAGAAGCCCAGCGACCGGCATAGCGCTCAGGTTTTGCTGGTAGGGCTTCCACACATGCTGCGCGGAACTGGTCGTGCTTGCCAAGTAAATCCGCGAGGCTCCTTTTGGCGCTGTGCTCGATCGCGACACCGACTTATAGCGCAACGACTCGTAAAAAATAAACGCAGTGAAGGCGCAGGTGAGCTGGTGTAAGTTTACCCTTGTTAAAACACCCGAGACTGGGCGCGAAAAAACTTGAAACAACCAAAAGTAGGAGTGAAAGAGAAATGAGTCGGTCAGAGCCATAGAGGTCAGAGCGCGCCCTTCATCGTAGCCGACCGTAGCGTCACCTACGGAGACGTGGAGATCCGTTTGCGCGCCGTACCGCGACGACATCGAGGCACTATGGCGGTAGCCTTTGTGGCCTTTGCCATTTGCCGCTCACCGCAGCGGCCGCGCGGTGCTGCTTGCTGGCCCAAACTGGGGCAGCGGCGCAGCGTAGAGTGTGCCCCACTAGCGCAGCGGCCAGTGTCGCCCTCTGTCCTCCGCGCGGGCTCTGGGGCCCGGGTCCTGACCACGGTCGCGAACACTCGACTGTCTTTTTTTTTTTTTTTTTTTTTTAACCCCCCTTTTCTATCTGGAAATCTCCGCTATCCAGCGCTCTGGGAGTCTGCAGTGGGCGCACCGGCGGCAGCGGGCATTATTATCTCTCGGCGGTCCCGTCTTTTTTTCTTTGATCCGTTTTTTTGTTTTTGTTATCCCTGGGTGTCCTCTTCCTTCCCGTTTTTGTGTTTCTTTCCCGTGTGCGTGCTCGCCGCGGGTGCGTGTGCGTGCGTGGTGCGGCGGTCTCCCGACGACGACGCGGTGCTGGCGGTGTCGCGCGGCGTTGCGATGACGGTGTCGGCGCTGCCGGCTCGCCGTGGCCACGGCTGGCGCGGTGCTGCTGGAGGGGGCTGCACGGGGATCCTGCCGACGACGACGACGCGGTCGTCGTTCGGGTCGTCGGTGTGTGCCCAGCGCAGCGTTGTCCCGAGCTGGCTGCTGGCGTAGCCGCTCCGGGGACCGCCCCATGGATACGGACAAACCCGTCGATCCTTCCCTAGGTGAGCGAGCGATCATCCGCCGTCGTTGCCGGATGAACGGAGACGATGAAACGCAACAGACGGCGGACGCGCCTTCGCAGATTCTTTTTCGTCCGAAATTTATATTTCATTATATTTCACTGGTATTGTTTTCCCGGAGAACCGATCGAGTGTGCGTCGATCCCTTCGTCCCTTTATTATTGATCACTTACGAAAGGCGATCTAGCCTTTTTTTTTTTTCTTTTTTTTGTTTCATTTTCGGCCGCTGCGGTGATTTTCGCAGACGACGGATCCGTCTGCAACGAAGCGTGCCGCTCCTCTGTGCGCCTTCGACCCTTTTTGACGTTTTTATATATGTGGTTATCTCGGTTCTCCGGGAGTTCACTTTCGCTCGCGCGGCGCGTGCTCGACGTGAACGTTTTTATCGGTCCCTATCGGTTATTTACCGCCGTAGGACGGGCCTATTTGAGGGCCGTGCGTGCATGCAGCGCGCGGAGGAGTCGGGTCGCGTGCCGCTCACAAATCGAGCTCGGCGGGGGCGGCCGAGTGGCAGGCGTTCTTATGTATCGACCGAATTGAAGAGGAAAGAACTGCTGACACGCCAGCGCCACAACTTAGGCCCAAGAACGCCTCTTACGCGCGCCTACGGACAAACACTGACAGAAAAAGAAAAGGGTGGACGAGAGAGAGATTACTCGATGAAATCAACACAGACCTCGAGCTGCGAAGAGCCCTTCCACCTCATGAAATTAGATTTCGATTTTTTGTTGTTGCTGTTTTTGTTTTGGGCCCCTTGATAAATTTGCCGCCCTCCGAGTCTTTTCCTTTTTTTTTTTCTTCTTCCAATTCGTTTGTATTTATTTCCTCCTATGTGAAACGGCGAAGCGATAGTGCGCTCTTTCATCGCTTCAATTTTTCTTTTATCTTTGCTTAAACGCAAATTATACCTCACGAGCCATTCGTTTTGTGTCTGCCAAGAGGAATGAATATATGTATATAGTATATATATATAGCGCCCGACGAAACAATTCGGAACTCGCGTCTGCGAGTTGGAATTTTTTTTTTTTTTTTTTCATTTAATGGGAGTTAGAAGTGCTTTTGGTTGGACAAGGTCCAACAGATAAGCCCTTCCCAAAACATACACTCTTAGAAAAATAAAAAAATAATCTGCTGGCGCTGCCAGCCTTTGAATAAATGTCCTTTTCTATCGCTATCTCTCCTGCTGCTTTGGGTAACGTGAAGGAAGTACGATTTTAATTTTCTTCAATGCGTGTGGAGCACTATATCCATCTCTTGTCTCAAAAACATGTTTTTTTTTGTTTTTTTTCCGAGAATGTTTTAACGTTTAGGCATGTGCAGGTATGGGCTGTAATTCAGTATTGAAAGCTTACAAACTTTAATCGCATTAAACCATAGACTATGTGTTAGTTTCTACATCCGAACAGCTTCCGTTTATGCAGTAGCTCGTGGATAGAGCCCAGCACCAATATTTTTGATTAAAACGGGCAGCTTGGGCTCTGGAACGAAGGCATCAAGCGGGAGCCTTCCAGCTCGGGGATCGGGGGGGCGAGGACTCTGCTGGCACGGGTCCACAAAAAGCCTTGCCCAACCAAGCAAACGCAGCTCATTCTTAGCCAAGTCTTTGGAGGGAAGGGGCTGTTCATTGCTCCGGACTGACCTTTATGGCCTGCCCTGCTGGCCTCTGTTTGTTGGTCTAGGTGGTTGAAAAGCACTGCACTGAAAGGCACCAAGCTCTTGTTTCTTTTTGCTTTATTTTTTTTTCTTTTTGTACGAAAGGCTTTGTGGCTCATCTGTGAGGCCACCCCTTTCCGTCTTTTACCACCTCTGTTTGTTGAACCGTTTGTCGTCCAAGATTCTGGACCTTGCAGAACCCGAAACGTTTAAGCTTGTGTGGAGATTTCCTATTTTAAACGACAGTTTAGCCCAGTCGGCTGCTTTTCTTTTAGCTGCCTCTACTGCCCTCTTTTTTGAGGACAAATTTTTATTTAAATTGTCACTCAATATTTTTGCATCAATGTATCTCCAGCTCAC